ATGCTGTCCAAAGGAGCTCTGAATCCAGCAGATATCACTGTCCTCTTCAAAATGTTTACAAGTATGGACCCACCTCCAGTAGAACTGGTCAGTATTCACCTGTTTGTAGCCTCTGAAACTTATTTCTGTTACAGAAGCACTTGGAAATGGGGTGTGTTGTGCTTAGTGTTGTATGGACACAAAAATTAAATTAGCATTCACTTGTCCCTCTGTTATTTTAAGCAATGTCTAAAAGTGAAGCCGATGCATTCTGGTTTGCATCAGCTTTGTGGTACTTCTCTTGGGGTTTTTTAATCATTTCAAGCTGTGTTTTTACATATAACTAAACTAAAGAACATTTCCATAGGAAATTAAGATGGCAAGGAATAATTCTTTAAACAAACAAAAAGAAATTCAGGAAAAAAGAATCCATGCCCACTTTAGCAGTTTGTTGTAAGGAGGCCTAAATTATACATTTCACATTTCTCACTGCATTGTTCTTGTTTTGGTAAGAAAAGGCAAGATTTTGATACTTTAGAAGTCTGGTCTGTAACTGATTCCTTTTTTTTTTTTTCTTTTTTCTTTCAAAAGTCTGTGTCTCTGCAGAAAACTGTTTAATGTACTCTTAAAGGAAAATGTGTTTATATTGTTCTATGCAAGGTATATCAAATGCAGAAACTCCATTCTGAGTCGCTTCTCCTGAGTCTCAGGCGCTGATAAAATGTTCTTTTTCTTCACAGATTCGAGTGCCTGCATTTCTGGACCTCTTCATGCAGTCTTTGTTTAAACCAGGTGCTAAAATCAACCAGGATCACAAACATAAATATATCCACATACTGGCATATGCAGCTAGTGTTGTAGAGATGTGGAAAAAGGTAATGTTTACTTCTGTGAATAATACTATTTTTTACCTGCAGCAGCCTGCCTGTGCTGAAGAAAGTGTATGGTTGTGAACCATATGGTTGCAAGAATCATCAGTTTAAAATAATACATTCAGCTTAGTTTACTTATTTTAATATGAAATGCTTCTGTTTTTAACTGTGGTGATTAACAAGTGTAGATCCTGATGATCAAACAAAAGTCTGAGTGCACTGAGAACTAAATAAAGCAAACATCCTTGTACTCCAGCTCACTCATAATTAATTCTTCTGAAACTTGCATGTGAGTCTGAATTTTGAGACACTGGTTGCAATCCTAGCTTATTGCAGGTTAAGCTCCTTTCCTTAAATAACCAAAGACATCTGCAACTTTTGCATTCCAACTTTGCAATAATTTTGCAGAACAAGAGAGTCAGCATCAACAAGGATGAACTCAAGTCGACCTCAAAAGCCATTGAGACTGTTCATAATCTGTGTTGCAATGAGAACAAAGGGGCATCAGAGCTGGTTGCAGAACTGAGCACTCTCTATCAGTGCATCAGGTGAGCAGAGAGGCTGGGAGTCTCTCATGACTCACAAATCCTGTCTTTCACACACAACTTGTCCTCCTTGGGTGGCAGAACATGCTTTTCTGTGCCACTGGAAAATGATGGCAGATTATTTTGGGTTCCTAATAAAACTTCCATTTATTTTTCATGCTGCTGTGCTAAAGTGATGTCTCTCTGTAGGTTCCCAGTGGTGGCTATGGGTGTGTTGAAGTGGGTGGACTGGACAGTGTCAGAGCCACGGTACTTCCAGCTGCAGACAGATCACACCCCAGTTCACCTGGCACTGCTGGATGAGGTAAAAGTGTCTGGAAAACTCTGCTGGAGAGCAAGAATGGTTCTGGTTTTTGTGTAACACTGAGTGCCTGTCATTTGCAGTAAGGCAGTAAATATGCAGAGATTAATCTACTCAGAGTAAATGATTTGGTTTTGTCAGCTCAGCATTTAAGCCAGGAAAACTTGGGCATCATAGAAATGATGGAATGCTTTTCTAAATGAATTTGTCTGGCACTGAACATCAATGCAGAATTGCCTGCGTTGTGCATTGTGTTTTAAATTGCTGTTCTGCAGATCTCACTTTGCTGTGTTGTTTGCAGATCAGCACCTGCCATCAGCTGCTTCATCCCCAAGTTCTGCAACTTCTTGTCAAGCTCTTTGAAACGGAACATTCTCAGCTGGATGTGATGGAGCAGGTGATACTCAGAGGATTCAGTGCTTTCTGTTACTTCACATCAGTCACTCTTACCCAGTTCAACAGCTTTTCCTCTCACAGCACAGTTAATTTAGAAGTGATTAAAATGTAGCATAGCATATATTGAATAATAAAAATTGCACACTCTGAGAGCAGGTTCTAAAGTGTTGGCTCTTCCCTCCCTTCCCCATCAGCTGGAGCTGAAGAAGACTCTGCTGGACAGGATGGTTCACTCGCTGAGCCGAGGGTACGTCCTGCCTGTCGTCAGCTACATCCGCAAATGCCTGGAGAAGCTGGACACGGACATATCACTCATCAGATACTTTGTGACAGAGGTCAGCAGCAAAAACTGTTTTCTGAAGTCTAGAGATCAGGTTTAAAATCAACTGCATGTGTTTTGGATATTCAGAAATCCTTCAAGTTCAGGTCAGATTCTGAGCAGTGTCTCAATGATGTGACTTGGTCCTACTGATCCTGACTTCTGGAAGTAAAAAGGTACTCAGTAGAGCACCTTGAGAATACCTAACTAATTACTTGCACTTGAGACCTCTGGTTCTCCATCCAGCTACTTGTATGCTTCCAAGGCTGGTATATGAATTAAATATTGTCCCTCCTCCCCCTGTAAGTGCAAGAATCATCAGTTTTTGTTTGCTGTTTCAGGTGCTCGATGTGATTGCTCCTCCGTATACCTCAGACTTTGTACAGCTTTTTCTTCCAATCTTGGAGAATGAAAGTATTGCAGGCACTATAAAAACAGAAGGTGAACATGATCCTGTCACAGAGTTCATAGGTAAGTCACATTTATTCCTTGCATACCTGCTTCCATTTGTGTCTGTTACAGCTAGCAAATAATGTCTAGGAGGAAGGTTGCTGAATATAGGAATGCCTGCCAGCTATTTTGACAGACAACTTTCCTTTGAGGGGCCTGTGTTTAGCAATTTTCCTGTGATCAAGAATCTGTGTGTAGTAGTGAGGAAAGTGAAGAGAAATACTGCTTTTTGGGAACTATCACTGCAGCAAGGAAGGGAAGTTGTCTGTCATAATACCTGAACTAGAAATATCTGTCTAGACCCTAAAAGCCTAATTGTTTATATAATGCAGAAATCCATATGCAAATATATAAATCAGAATCATAGTAATGTACTAAACAGTGTCTTTTTTTTCTCTCCTTTTAAGCTCATTGCAAATCTAACTTTATTATGATGAACTAAGCAGTGGAAAACATCAAGAATGCAGCCAGAGCTCATGATCACTGCTTTGCCATGCTCTCCACCAGTGAGGTTTTGTAAATGGGCAAAAAAACCCCAACAAAACCAACCAACTTAAAACAAGGAGGAAAAGGCTGAAGGGCATTTGCTTGACTTGCATGGTGACCTCAAAATTCTTACCAGAGGAGTGATTTTGTTTCATATAGAGAACTTAATGTCATTTGAAAAATGGAATGATACCAAAAAGGTCTTTCTGTTGTTACACGAATCAGGATGTTCTCTTGTTACCCAATGTTCTGAAGAGGATGGATAGCAAGAAGCAGATTTATTTGAAGGAACATTATTTTGGTTACTTGCAGAATTTGTCACTGATTCTTTGTGTAATAAGCAAAATATGAAGAACGGGTAAGGTAATTCCTACCAAAAACACTTTGCAGATAGTTCTCTGAATAGGTCGTGAATGCTCTAGGCTTTGATGTTGCAGTTGTAAAAAATAGGAATTTGTGGATTTGCTCTGTGCCTGCAGCACAGAAGCTCTAATGTCTGTTCCTCCCCTTTGCATTGTATTAGAATTCTAAATATGAATGAAAACAAAAAATGTGTTTTGTGTAACACAAGAGGAATTGCAACAACCAAGGTTAGTTTTATATTAAGAGAGGAATTCTGTGTGAAGTGTGTTACCTTTCAGAATCTATTTTTTGCTAAATAGATGGATCAGATGTTACTGGTAAGTTTAATTACCGTGTAATTACTGTCCCAAAATATGAAATGTGTGCCGAAATTTCATTACTGCTTGTGTGGCTTTGTTTTTATACTGATCTCTACTCTGTCCTGGCTGATGCCAAACTGTGGCAGAACACCCAACAATATAATTTTTACTTATAAATAAAGGTGTTTGTTCTTTTCCAGAGATGTCTTTCAGTTTCATTAAGATGACTCATTCTCTCTGCTCATTGGGCTAGATTCCTCTTTACACTCCTCACTTTTAAACAAACTGTAATTCTCTTGAACAAGCAAGCACAGTTTGCTTTTCCAAGCACATCTGTTTTCTGAAGAACCTGCATTCTAAAAGAGACATCTAGCTGGATGTAAATATAAAATGGAAATCACCTGAAAAGGGCAAAAGTTGCTTCTGTGGAGGCCGTGAAAATGTACACTGAGTTTCATGTATCTTTTTTTTACCTAATTGGTCCATTAGTGTAGATTTCCACCATCTTGCTTATCTTTGAAGATTTATATTATTCCAGCTAACTCACAAGTTAAAATTTGTATGAAACCTAGTTTTTGTAGTTTAAGTAAACTGTAGAATTAACAACAGAAATTATTCACCTTATAGAAGATCAATTTAGGATACAGCCCTGTACAAGCTCTTGGTGATAATCAAGAGCAGTTTGCTCTGTGTGTACTGCAGCTTTGCCAGCAGTTTAAACAAGGTTTATTTTTATTTTTATTTTCCTGTGTTCTGCTTGGTATCACTTGCTCTAAACAGTTCCTCTGTAGATGATTTTTGACTTGTTAAATCCTTTGTGCTGTCACACAATTCTGTTCATACCCAATTGTTGTCTGAACCAGCATCATTGCTGTATGAACTTGTCCATCAGACCTTTCAGAAGAAAAAGACCAGTGAAAGCAGCAAGATCCAGGTAAGGAAAACCACACACCTCTGTTAATAAGCTCTTATAATAAATACCCAGTCATGTAAGAGAAAAAGTCTGTTTATTAAATCAGTTAGCAAGGCCAGATAGTAAATCTGATATGGCACTGATTTGTCATATTAGTGAGGTTTATGGCAATTTTCTCTTTAGGAGAAAAAGGGCACAATCACATATTAAGAAATTTGAGCAAAGACAAGACTAGTGAAGTAAGAAGTGTTTAGACTGTCTTTTGGTTAAAGTAATTCCCATTATATCATTTTGGTGGATAAAAGCAACTTCTTTATTTAAGGATTCTAACACCACTGTTTCACCAGGAGGACAAGAAAAACAGGATTTCGTATTTTTAATTTACCATATCCAAAGTTATCATGGCTTTTGCATCATTGCAGCATATTTGGTCAGTACTGTCACAGAATCTAAAAGAAGCTCTAGACCCAAATATTGAGTATACTTTTCCAGTACACCTACATGATTTGTATTTTAAAAAATAGATATTTATATGTACATGTTCTGTGATTCAGTCAGTGTGATTTTAATACTGTGCATCAAGGTAGACAACTTCTTCATGGGTGATTTTGTAAATAAAATAAAGGCAGTTCTGTATTTTTTGAAGGTACTATGTGTTGCATCTGGGCTAATTTTGCAGAACTGCCTGACAGCGTTGAACTGTGAAGGGGTCTTAGGCTATTAGTCTTTGAACAAGAGGAGGTTGTGCTGGGAAGCTTCCAAACACTGATTTTTCTTCTGGAACCATATGGAACTCTGAAATCCCTTATCTCTAGCAACCCATAAAGTGGTCGAGTAGTACCCAAACACAAAGCTGTACCATGTAGAATCAAGGCAGTATAGGATCTCCATAGGTACAGTCCTCTTCAATAGCCAGATTGTAGTCTGCTCCTCTTCCACCCTTATAGGCACTGGTCACAATCCTCAGCCACCCTCTTTCACCCTGTAAAGGATTTAATTTGCATTGTAAATTAGGAAACACAACTGTAGAAATTGTGTGTTGGTGAGTCTGTTCTGTCTACCAAAGATGAGTGATTTAAATGCACTGAGGAACTCAAGCTGAAGTGTAACCCTGGAGTCATGAGCAACCTGCTTTGGTGAATTGACATCCCATTCATCCAGTCCAGGTATGTGACTGGATTTTTACCTACAACTAACAGCAATTTACAGTTACCCATAACAGGAGCTGCACATCCTTGAAAGGTAGAATTTGGGATAGAGCTGACATTACTCAAATAACTTTGACCAAATATCCTTGTCTTCAGATTGGCTGGGTGTCATTTTTAAACTGGTAGCCTAGTTCAAAGAAAGTTCCAGTTTTATATCCATGGGCTGTAGTTTTGCAAGTGACAAACCCCACGCTCCCAAGTTAAAAGTGTGTTCCCAAGTCTCCTTACCCAGGGCTCGCCCCAGGAGTTACGAACTATCCAATATTCTGTCCCATTTTCCACTCCCCAGCCAGCCACAGAGACGATGTGATTCACTGTAGGTGTGGGGTTGTACTCTGTGTACAGTCCCCCTGTGTAGGCATCCAACTTTTCAGTAGCCATTATGCCACAGCTGCAAGAAAACAGAGAGAGAAAGTTTCATACAAGGGGATCAGGGCAGAGGCCTGGCTAAAAACCATCTGGTTTCCTTGTATCTTGAATTCTGATCTCAGTTTATATACAACTTAAAGTCTACATGTTAGTGCAGAGCTGCTGACACGTGCTAGAGTGAAAATGTACACTGAGTTTCATGTATCTTTTTTTTTTTTTTTACCTAATTGGTCCATTAGTGTAGATTTCTGCCATCATTTTTTCTCTTCCACTGACAGACCCATAGTCAGCAACTTTCCAGAGAGTGTAGTTCTTGATCACATGGCATTCTCCAAAAGTGACACAAGTTCCACACTGGTTGAACTTCTTACACTCTGTAAAACAGAGGCGAGATTACCACTGGAGGTAATCTGCAGGAAGGTATTTTTCTTCAAGTGAAATGACTGTAGGACACTGAGCTTTTATAATTTAATTGAGGCAGATAGTAATAACTTCAGAGTAATTATTAATACATATTCTCTCTGGTGAAATCAATTATTTTCTGGAAACCACATTTAAAGTCCCTATTACCACAACTTACTGTTCTTACTTCACAGGTATAAATACTTTGTTGAGGACACAGAGAAACCATTCCAGTCATACATGACCAAAGGTTAAATTCCTCCTTTGTTCAGCTTGAGGTGACACATTAGAGATTGTGTGTCACAGATTTGAGAGATTAAGTTAAAACCATTCAGCTGTGCAAACTTGCCTGAGCATGATTTAGTGCTACACTGTCTGTGTGGAGCAGACAGTGTAGCCACGTAAATAAAACCTGTTCTGTCAGCCACACAGCAGGAGCCAGTACTCTAAAAACCCAAAACATTTTTTTTATACACTAATATCTGCTAAACCTGTGAAGAAATCCTACAGCAAAGCAGAGACAGCCTACTTTGATCCTTGGCTTGGTAGTTGTTGCAGGTCTCGTCGGGGATGCCGTGGTCATGGGCGTACATCCAGACCCGGGAGTGGTCCCCGCCCTCGCAGGAGCCGGCGTCAGCGCAGTCGATGACATTCTGCACAGACAGGTAGGCAGAGGGCCAAGCACCTTTCCTCTTGATGTTGATTCGGTCTGTAAGGATAAGAAACTGGGGTTTGTTGCTGGAATACGTGGGTGGCTACACATTGTAACTGGTTTTGAAACTGTCTCCTCTTCCTTGAGGCCGTAACTGGCTGCAGACGGCAGCACTTGTGGTTGGAAAAGCCTCTGCTGTCTGCAGTGAGGAACACAGCATGACCTAATTCAAACCAGAGGCTGACTTATTATTGTGGGTTTCCATTAGGAGGTTTTTTTCCATTAAAAACTCAGCAAAAACATGGAGATGAGTAAGATCTGTCTAAAGCCTTGAAGAGCCCTAGACCTCTTTTAATTCAAGCTACAGCTTCTGAAAACTTCTAGATCTGTTTCCTGACTTTGACAGCAAAGAGTTTTCAAACACACATCATAAAAACAGCTCTGAGCAGCATATTTTGCAGGAGTAGAGCTTTATGTATAAGTCTATGCATAAACATAAGCCCATGGAGCTCAGGCTGCTGGCTCTGTGAGCCAGTCTCAATATAGGAGAAAGTTTTCAGAGTTATCTCCTTGCTGTTACATCAGCATCTCACTGTTTTTCTGCCATCTCAGACAGGCCCCACCACCCTGCTGCCTTCTTTTGTCAGAAACAAGTTTACTTGGCGGAAAATCTTCCTAACAAGTTTACTTGGCAGAAAATCTTCCTGACAAGTATTTATAAACTGCTTTTCTGCATTAACAGTCTTAACTGACGCCACTGTAGTACTTTAAATCCTATTAGGACCAACAACATTCAAATAAACTTGACAGAACAGGGACCTATCATCCCAGCTTAATCCTCCTGCAAGCTGCTGTATTTTACCTATCCCAGTACTTCACTCCATCCTGGCAGGTGTCATACATGTCCACATCCTTGTATGCTGCATGATTCCTGCTGTCTGCTCACACCTGCTTTATCTTCCCCCTTCTCCCCAGTTTCCTGTTTCTCCTTCACAGGTAATTTCCCTACAGCCTCCCTGTGCAAATGGTGCTTCTCCAGCACATAACTGTTGCATACAAATCATGCATTCTCTCTAGAGCCACTACTTCTCCATCTGTAGCAAACCACTACTTCCTCTTGACTAAGAAAAAGGCTGAAATCAGACTTTTGTGCCTGCTGTGATGGTCAGTTCATGGAACGATAGGGCTCCTGTAGCAAATAGCTCACAAAAGGCATATTTCATTTCCTCATTGCCAGCACGGCTGCAGAGCCCCTGCTGTAGTGAGGTACCAGAAAGGGGAAAGAGACCTGACAACTCTTTTGCATCTGGTGTTGCCATCATCACACCTCTGAGGGGAGGGCAGAAACCCCAGCTCTTACCCCAGGACCTAAAGAGCAGTTTGGGAGGAGCTATGGCCACATTCCTTCTGCAAACAGGTTTTTAACCACACACCAGCATTCCCGCCTTGCTGCCTTTGGATAAGGTGGAGACAGCTTCACTCTGGTTGCTTTTTGTATTGAAACCAACCCTGCCTGCCTTCACCTTGGGCATTCCCACTGTTCTGGTGTATTCACAGACATCTCAGCCTAGTCACTGCAGTGATTTAGCACCTTTATACCAACTGCCAGTAACCTGAAGCTAAACTTCCTTTGCCTCCTGAGAACTCCCTATTCCAGCGGGGAGCCAGCCCAGCAGGTGAGCCCGAGGGTACCTGCCAAGGCGCTAGTGCTGCCGTGGGCCCAGCAGGACCCGCAGTACTGGGGGATGTGCTGGTTCCGAGTGGTGCTGGCGTAGTTCACCCCATTCACGTTCCGCCAGTCCCAGCTCCGCGGCAGCGCCGACACGTCCAGGTACTCGTGCGGCCGCGGGTAGGTCCTGGGGGGGACGGGACGGGGAGGTAGGGCCGGCAGCCCCCGGAGCACGACGGGCGGGCATTAAAAAAAAAAAAAAAGTTTTTTAAAAAATTAAAAAACAAACAAAAAAAACACACAAAAAAGCAGGGATTTCCCCGAGTGTCACAGCGAGCCCGCCGGGACCGGACCGGTCACGTGACCGCGGCGTGACCGCTCCGACACCGACATCTCGTGACCGCCCCCCCCTCCCCACACAGACCCGGAGCGGCCCCGGGCACCCCGAACCCCCCCATGCCGGGCACCCCCGGACATCCCGAACCACCCCATCCCGGGCACCCCGAACCACCCCCCGGGCACCCCGAACCCCACCCCATCCCGGGCACCCCCGGACATCCCGAACCACCCCATCCCGGGCACCCCGAACCACCCCCCGGGCACCCCGAACCACCCGAATCACCCCCCCGGGCACCCCCGGACATCCCGAACCACCCCCTGGGCATCCCGAACCACCCCCCCGGGTATCCCGAACCCCCTCCGGGCAGCCCCGGGCACCCCGAGTCGCCCTCCCGGGCGCCCCGAACCACCCGAATCACCCCCCCGGGCACCCCGAACCACCCCCCGGGCACCCCGAACCCCCACGGGCACCCCGAACCCCACCGGGCATCCCGAACCCCCACGGGCACCCCGAACCCCACCCCATCCCGGGCATCCCGAACCATCCGAATCACCACCCCGGCCACCCCCCCGGGCACCCCCGGACATCCCGAACCACCCCCTGGGCACCCCGAACCACCCCCCGAACATCCCCGGGCATCCCGAACCCCCTCCGGGCAGCCCCGGGCACCCCGAACCGCCCTCCCGGGCACCCCGAACCCCCTCCCCGAGCCCGGCCGTGCCCGCCGTCCCTTCCCCGCGCTCCCCCCGCCGCGGGCCCGGAGCGCTCCGGGGCCGGGCTGACCTGAGGCCGGGCGCCCTGCGCGGGGCCGGTCGGTAGCAGCTCTGCCCGGCCCTGAAGTGGAGCCCGGCGCGGGCGGGCGGGCAGAGGCCGGCGCAGAGCAGCAGGAGCGCGGTGAGCAGCGGCGGGGCCATGCCGGGACAGCGGCGGCGCTCGGGATGCGGCCGCGCCGGGGTTTGAGGGCGGAGGGGAGGAGCGGGGCACGGGCGGGGCCGGCCGCGCTCACCTGGGGCGGCGGGGACAAGGGGACAGCCCTGCGACTCCCCCGGGACCGCCCCAGGGTGGCTGCGGATCGCCTCGGGACGGGGAACAAACTCAGATCCCGCCTTCCCAGCCCCCAGTGGCGTTTCCAGCTGAACAGTTTGGTCACATGCGCCGTGAGAAAAGGACTTGTACCTCGGACAGGCGCTCTTACAGGTTTCTTCACCTTTAGCCGAACACCTCAGCGTTGTGCTAGACTGTGGCCAGCGGCTGTGAGTGGTTTTTTGTTTGATGGTTGTTTTTTTCCTAGTCCCAAGTTCTGGATTTCTCAAGCCCTTTAATGCTACAATTAGCAAAGGAACACAAGCCTGTGTCCATTTTCTAGGCTGCTCCTTAGGGTTTTAACATCTGAAGTTTCTTTATTATTTGCTAGAAGATTTAGTCAATAGTAAAAAGAGTTTTCTAATTTTCCTGTAGAAGCTTCTAGTGACTGTGTAAATGGATTATCAGTCTCTTTTCCATACATTAGGTAGAAGCTTTTATGTTTGATAAACTCGTTTAGTAAACCACAGACAGTTCTTCCCTTCTAGCTTCTCTTCCTTAGCTTTCAGCACTTTTTGTAGAGGGCCTGAGGTTTTATTATTAACGCCACATGAATAGAGAAACTGAGGCACAGAGAACCAATACACCAAAAGGAACAGCAGAGCACAAATTAAGCCTGTGGGTTAACTGCAGTGGTTTTTTTGTATCATTCTTAAGGGTGATTCAGCTAGCCCAGGTTAGTTAAGACTTGCATCAGCTTGTCTGGTAGCCATTCACAGATCTCTGTAAAATTATCTGATGGCCTGTAGCCAGGCTTATCTCAAACTGAATAGGCTTTCCTCTCAATCTTCTCTGCTACTCTGAAAAGCCGGCTCCTCCCAAGCAAATCTCCTTGCACATGCATATTTACTGCAGATAGTGTTAAAAAAACCCCAAAAATCAACCAAGAAAACAAAAACAACAACAAAAACCCCGGCAACCACAAAAGCCTGGTGTCGTTGTGGTCTCAGCCCAAGCCCATCAGCAGGCCTGCGGTATCTGGAAGCTGTGGGCAGGCTGATGATAGCCACTGTAGGACAGCTGCAATAGCTGTGCCCAGTGCCAGGCTGCTCCTAATCTCCCCAGTGCCTCTCTCTGCTAATCTGCAGCTGCACGCTGCCTCGGCTGTGCTGGGAAGTGCCTCGGGCTGTGTACAAGCCTGGGACTTCCCTGGGCTGAGCACAGACCGGTCTGCAACTAAATCTACACAGAAGCAGTTCCTCCAGGGCCAGGTTTGGGATAAAATCAGACTTAGAGGTTCACAGAAAGGCAGATGGGAAGGAGAGGGAAAAGAAACCCAAGCCCACATCTTCTTCACGAAGCATCTCAGCTACCTGGTGTCATGTGCCAGAATTTTTAAGGCTCTATGAGGAAGTGCTTCAGAGGAGGCACATGATTCTAGGGAGCTATTTTCAGCGAGAGGAAAAACGCCTATTGACTGATTGCATATTTCTTTTACTTCCCTTTTCCCCCTTTCCTTGTGAGATGTGCTCAGTGAATATATTTATTGCTGAAATTATTTTGTCAAATTTTCTGGACAGTGAATTAGCACCTTCAGCCTATTCCTAAGCTGATCTTTCAAATTCACATTAATTTATAGCATATTTTTATTAATGTATATTTTTATAAATTAATATAAATGTATATTTTTATATTGTATTTATTTAGTATTTGATATTGACAATGTTGCAATGGAACAAAACATTTTGTGTCTTGCTGGGTAAACTGAATGGCTTAGAGAATACTTATCTTTTGGAAAATGATAAAATGATTGTGTTTTAAGGAAACAAAATGAATCTACCTGCATTTGAAGTCTTCCTTTTATTTTTCCCTACTCAGTATGCTCATAGCATGGCAGAGGGTGATGGAAGTTTGCTCTCTATTTTTTTACAATGCACTTCTGGTGCTGAACTCTGTGTTAGGAGCAGTTGTCTGTTCCTTCATTGGCTGGTGGGAGAAGTGGAAGTCATCAAGTGGAGGGGAAGCCTGGAACAAGCTGATTTTTCTTCTGGAACCGTATGGAAGCTCAGAAATCGCTTATCTCTAGCAACCCATAAAGTAGTTGAGTAGTTACATTCAGTGAGTCAAGCCCTTCCACTGTCACCATTTTATGCTAAATAGTTTAAGGTGCTCTCCTAATTATAGTTCCTTTCCTCATCCTTAAAAGGAATGCTTACAAGGCAGTAACAGTCATTTGATATGTCATAAAACTTCTCTAGGCTTCTAGAAGTCATTTTACCCTGGGTTTCTGCTGCTCAGTGATATTGGTCCTGGTTATCAGCAGCCAAACACGACTGTGCTGTGTTTTGTTCTGCCTCACATCGTTTCCTTTAGCACAGGCAGATGTTTCACTCAGTGAAGGTTACAGTTCACTTCAGAGAGCTTCAGTGAAACGGGTTTTTCACCTCTAGCAATTTCCTGGCAAGTTCTGAAGTACATCTGAGATATAGGAAATCAGGAAATATTAGAAATGCTGCATGTCTTAATGTCAGGAAATGAAGAGAGAGAGAGGGAGAGAGAAAGAGCATCTGTGCAAGTTAGTCACAAGTTAGTTCTTCAAGTTTTGGCTAAAAATGATGGATTCCTATAAGTATTTAAGGTCCAGGCATCACTGAGAGTACAGTGTTATTTTTTATGTTACAAAGTATTTTTTGTTCCTGCTCCTGTTCCCCTCCTTCATGCAGTCACATCAGGAATGATGCTTGTTAGTGAGCTGGAGTTTGCCTTGCAATGAAGTGCATGTTGTGATTATAGGAGTCTCCTGCTCACAAGTTGTTACCATTTTTATTATGGGTGTTGTCCTCTATGACTCATATGATGCCAAAATTTAAATTATGTGGCAGAAGCACATGTGCTTAATAAATTAAGATCACTCACTTTGGGCTATCATCTCTACATATGCACATGTATTTGTATATATATTATATCTAATATTAAAAAATGCAACACAAACGGAATATGCACACATATTCATGCACCACACTGCTGCACAGAGAACTGGGAAGGGGTGCATGTGACAGTGCTGCTTTCCAAGGCACTCAGTGGTGCACCTGTGCTGCTGTACCTGCAGCCAGGCAGGGAAGAGGCCCTTGGCTCCTGGTGCAGCGCCTGGGGCTGGCTACTCCCCTGGCTGGCTGAGTGACAGTCCCTGGGGTATAAAAGGGCCCCTGGGCCGGGCTGTGCTGGGTGTAGCTGATAGAGCAGCGGGCTGAGGGCTTCTTCTGGGCAGCTGGAGAGCCTGGGCGAGGCTGTAGCCACCGACAGGTCTGAGCTACACAAAATGCGTGAAATCGTGCACCTGCAGATTGGCCAGTGTGGGAACCAAATCGGATCCAAGGTAAGGTCTCTTTTCATCACTCATTATTACCAGGGGATCAGAGGCAGCAGGTCAGACATCATCAATGGATGGGGATTTTGGGGAGGACAATTTCCTTGTAATCAGTGGTGGGAAGCATGGCATGTTAGCAGGGAAGATGAGTATTTTGGTATGAAAGACAAAAGCTGGATTTGCTCCTCATGCAAAATTAAATGTTCATTTGCAATAACCATGCCCCAGTGATTACAGGTGCACCAGAGCATTCCTGATGGGATTCCTGTTCCCAGGGGGAACTCACATACTCTGCAAGATACTGGGGCAAGAGACAGAGCCAGTAATTCCAGGGCTGTGAAGTTGTGTTGCTGGTACTTTAGTTAAAACATGCAGCAGCTCTGCCTCATTTTATTCTTCAATATCACAGAATCATACAATGTTTTAGGTTGGAAGGGGTCTTAAAGATCATATTAATCAACAGCATAACCTGTGTTAACAGTGTAGAGTGACACAAAGTGTCACTGGCCTCCTGTAGACACAGGTGTCCCTTGGAGTATTTTTGTGTAGCTCAAACACTGGCATGCTGTGACATAGGGAGTAGTCAGTATTGCTGACTTTCTGGGCTAGGAGTAAAATTGCCCCTCAATTACTATGCTGTGTCCATCCTTCTTTTTTTTTTTTTTTTTTTTTTTTTTTTTCCAATTGAGAAGTCAGAAGTTGTCCAAAGAGTATCTATTTTGGGCTGGGAGGTCTTTTAAGACATGAGATAGTTTAGGGATTGTTCTGCTGTGTTCTTCCTCCCTTCTCCCACTCCTAACCTTGATTCTGTTTAATGGAACATGAAGCATGGAACATGCACCTATTGACAGTGGCGTATTTGTACACTCAAAATGGGACTGGATGCTAACTCAGGAGATCTTTAATATTAGAATAGCCTGGCCCTTGCAGTGGGTGGGTGTGTCTGCATGAACACTGCTGTGGCTGCTGCCCAGATAAGAGCCCAGCACAAGAGCATATCCATATGAGTGTCAAGATAGGACATTTAGGACCAGCAGCTGTTTGTGGAAAGCCTTGCTCATGTACAAATTTGCCCGTGCCAGCTTTGTCATGCCATGGTCCCACTTGTGCATGACAGGACTCAAAGCAACTCTCCGTAATCCACACCCTCACAACATTTTTGTTAAGCTCATACTGAGAAGTAACTGTTATTTAAAATTTTAAGCTAACATCAATTTTCTTTTATTATAAAGAGAACTCTACCTATTAGTGCATGGGTCATAGCTAAGCAGCATAAATGGTCTGCTAAACTTTTCCCTCAAAATTTATTTGGGAGCGGTAGAGACGGATCCCTGTTCTGATCTGGTAAGTACATGGCAAAGCATCCCCTACTTCAGGCACAGTTCCCAGAGCTGGTGCTGAAAATAAATAAATCATTCTCCGTGTGTTGTACCTCTTTCCTTTTGCAGTTCTGGGAGGTGCTTGGTGAGGAACATGGGATTGACATCACTGGGAACTACCGTGGGGATTCACCACTGCAGTTGGAGAGAATTAACGTGTACTTCAATGAGGCTTATTGTAAGTGCTCAGTAAAATAAGTAATTTAAAAACCCACAAAAAGCCTAAACCACTGTAGGTGGATTGGACTTTCTGGACTTACTGTTTCTTTGACAACTCGCAGTAATTATTTGCATTCATTTTGTTTTGTTCCAGCCCATAAATACGTGCCCCGTTCCATCCTGGTGGACCTGGAGCCTGGGACGATGGACAGTGTTCGGTCCAGCAGAATCGGGCCCCTCTTTCGACCTGACAACTTTATCCATGGTATGTACAGCACACTGCCAGCAAACTGACTGCAGGCAACTGTCCCAGAACGGCCTTGGAAGTCCTTCAAAGATTCTCCAGTTAACTTTGTGGCTGTTCCTTCTGTAATTCTGTTCACAGGTAATTCAGGTGCTGGCAACAACTGGGCCAAGGGCCATTACACAGAAGGTGCTGAACTGATTGAAAACGTCATGGATGTGGTCAGGAATGAGTGTGAGAGCTGTGACTGCCTTCAGGGGTTCCAGCTCATCCATTCCCTTGGTGGTGGCACAGGCTCAGGCATGGGGACGCTCCTCATCAACAAGATCAGAGAGGAATATCCCGACAGGATCATGAACACCTTCAGTGTTGTGCCCTCACCCAAGGTGTCCGACACCGTGGTGGAGCCGTACAACGCCATCCTCTCCATCCACCAGCTGATAGAGAACACGGATGAAACCTTCTGCATTGACAACGAAGCTCTGTATGATATATGCTTCAGGACATTAAAGCTCACCAATCCCACCTACGGGGACCTCAACCACTTGGTGTCCCTAACGATGAGCGGCGTCACCACCTCGCTGCGTTTCCCCGGCCAGCTGAACGCGGATCTGCGGAAGCTGGCGGTGAACATGGTGCCCTTTCCTCGCCTGCACTTCTTCATGCCCGGCTTCGCCCCGCTGACAGCTCGGGGCAGCCAGCAGTACCGGGCCCTGACGGTGCCAGAGCTCACCCAGCAGATGTTCGATGCCCGGAACATGATGGCAGCCTGCGACCCCCGCCGCGGGCGCTACCTCACCGTCGCCTGCATCTTCAGGGGCAGAATGTCCACCAGGGAAGTGGACGAGCAGCTGCTCTCTATCCAGACCAAGAACAGCTCCTACTTTGTGGAGTGGATCCCTAACAACGTCAAAGTGGCCGTGTGTGACATCCCGCCAAGAGGGCTGAAGATGGCAGCCACGTTTATTGGCAATAACACGGCCATCCAGGAGCTCTTCATCAGGGTGTCCGAACAGTTCTCGGCCATGTTCAGAAGGAAAGCCTTTCTCCACTGGTACACGGGGGAAGGCATGGATGAGATGGAGTTTTCTGAAGCAGAAGGTAACACCAATGACCTTGTGTCTGAGTATCAACAGTACCAGGATGCCACTGCAGATGTGGAGGAATTTGAAGAGGTAGAAGTGGAGGCAGAAGCCAAGCCAGAAAAGGAAGCAGAGTAAAAAGTAACAAAACATTTTCCGAATGAGTCTGTTCACATTCACTAAAGACAAAGCAAAAGCCATCATCTGCATTCCCAAAATATCACTTTTCTTCAGAACTTTTTCTCTGCATCTGACCAAGTATATCTGATATTACAACATAGTGTTTTTGACATTAATGGCAGCTCTGCTTTACTGTCTTAAAGAACTGTTGAGATCTAATCTCTCCTAAAACCGATCTACTCTGAAGACACGTTATCTCATACCAGCCTCTCCTGTAAATGGACTCACTTTTAGAATATAATCACCAGATACTGAATGTACTATACAGCCACTGTGCCTGTGTATATAGACCAGGATCATAAGCAAAACAGCTGTCAGCTCATCACATTTATTTATTCTCAGGTAAACACAGTCCCAGCTGATTGTGAACTTGTTACTGTTTTAGGAACATGTGCACATATCTGAGGCCTCCAAAGGCAGTGACTCTTATCATGCCATGGACTGATGTAGATCTGCAGAAACGGGGAAAATGACTGAATATGCACGTTCTTATTTTATAAGTTATCATTCTATCACATTGCTGGCTTCTATTATTGCAGAGCTTGTATTCATTATCATGGTGTGGTTTGTTTCTATTTCTAACTACAGGTTGAGTTACATTAGCACACTAAGTTGTGACATTGTGTAAAAGTTTTGGTGTGGTATTTTTTTTCCTAGGTACTAACTACTGTAAATTTTTTTCCTAACATTCAGTCCAACAAAAATGACATAGAATGGTTTGTAGTTTGTTAATATAAATTCCATGGCAGTCACTAAAACAAAATCTTATTTTGCCTTCAGTGAAAAAAATTTCTTGACATCGCAGCTGCCTACCTAATGTGTTTATAATATTCTTTTAAATAAAGATTATATACCATTCTATGAAAGTTTTATACTTGAAATATTTGATAGACAAACCCCCATAGTTTATTCTTGCAAGAACTAACTTAGAATTAAATTAGTTATACTCTTATCTGAAAAGGTTTAACAAAGGTTGTTGTACTCTGAAAAAGGCAACCCCTCATGTTTGAGTTCAGTCTTGGTGAAGGAACCTGAAGCCAATTTTCCTGTTCAGTGGGGCAATGTCATCCCTGCTGTGAAGACACACAGATGACAGCAGCAGGAAAATGCAAAACCACAAAGCTTGAAAAGCAGCTTTGCCTCCCAGCCAAGAGCAGTGTCTCCCTCCATTCCTGCTTCCCAGGGAATGTGTCCCTTTCCCTCTCCTCCCTGTCCTGACAAAGTGCAATGAGGATAAACAATTCAGACTCCTGTGTCTTCTTCCCCACCTTAATGACAGCAGCTCTCCCAATTCCTGATTCACTGCTCAGTGTTTCGGGCTTGGAGATCAGATGTCCAGCAGCACATCCATGGCACAAATATCCTGCTTCCAGTTTTCAAAACTATATGCTATATTCTCTGTTAATACAGCTTTTAGCCAGGATTTTTTCCAAAGTAATAATTTAAATGAAGTAGGCAGAAAATTTTGAAACAACAATCAAATCTCTCACTCATTTATGTACCAGAAATATCAGCATGACACCCAAAAAGAGATTTGGCTTAAAATTAAACAATGTTGCTACTCAATGTCCAGATTGTGCTAAAAGCAGTATTTTATTTTAACAGAACTGAAAAGTAAATGTCTCTACAGAACAGAAAGTTTGTTTCAAGAGGAACTACACTTTCCACACATTCAGAAATTACATTTATTTGCACGCCAATTTACATACACTGGCAAGTTCTACAGTTCATGTGATGACATTACACTGCAGCCTTGAGCTCGCCTACAGCTTTGCAGTTTGCTGTTATTCACCACAGATCAGCTCCTACAAGAGATTAAAAATACAAGTTATTTGATTCAAGAATTTGTACAAGGTACACTTTAAACAAAAGGTAATAGCATTTAATCTCAGATCAGGAACAGAAGCTGTTCTATCCAGAACAGAAAATATTTCAGCTGCTTGTGATGTATGGAATGGCACAAATAAAGGCACAAGCAACATCTGTCTCACAGAGAACAGATAATGCATACAACAAATTTGCTGAACAGGGGAAGGAGCAGTTCAGAGCTATGTGCTGGTTTAGCAAGTCTGAGACATGTGAAAATCCAGAGAAACCTGTGAGCATCACTAGAGAGCCGCAGCTGTTCTGTGTAAGCCCGTGACAAGTGTGACCAAAGCCCAAGGGTTCAGTGCAGGGCTTGGCAGTACATCCCAGCTCACTAATGGGATCAGGCTGTTTGCCATCCCACACGTAACCAGGTCACAAACACCTGCAGCACAGCAGCCGCAATGCCCTCCGTGCCATGCCTGGAAATGGAACCCATTATCTCCGGATATCGGGGATTAATGGACTCCGCAGTTACAGATATCGCCACTCCTGCACTACAGAGCTCCAACCACGCACCCAGCCCACCCCACCCACTTACATTTCACTCCTTTTTGGGTTTCACCGTTTTCACCGTGGCCACCGCTGCCCTCTCCGCCTCCGCTTTGTACTGCGGCTTCATGGCGGCCCGCACAGCCTGGGCGCAGATCTGCGAGTACCGGATGTAGCTGCGGCCGGGGCGACAGAGGGCGGTGAGACCTGGGCCCGGTGCTAAAGCCGCCTCCCCCGTCCCAAACCCGCGTTCCCCCGGCAGCGCCGTGACCCCTCACAGCGGCGCTCCCTCACGGCGGGGCCGCGCCCGTACCTGAGCCCGGCCTGTCGCCAATACGCCACCATGGCTGCGGCTCCGCGGGGCAAGGTCAGCGCGCGCCGCGGGGACGTGCCGGCCGGCCAATCAGCGCCCGGGAACCGCTCACGCGCGCCGCCGCTCGCGGGCGCGCGCCTACGCCAGCGCCCAATCAGAGCGCTCCGTTCCGGGGCGCGGCTCCCGCCCTTTCCGCCTGACGCGCCCCGGGCGCGCCCCGCCCCTTCCCCTCGGCCCGGGCGGCCCCGCGGCCGTGAGGGGCGGTGAGGGGCCCGTGAGGGCAGCGCCGGGCCGGGCTCCTCACGGCGGCGCGGGCTGAGGGCGCGCCCTTCCCGGGATGAGCTGCGTGCCCTTCCCGGGCTGAGGGCGTGCCCTTCCCGGGCTGAGCTGCGTGCCCTTCCCGGGCTGAGGGTGTGCCCTTCCCGGGATGCGGTCCTGCCCTTCCCGGGATGAGCTGCGTGCCCTTCCCGGGCTGAGCTGCGTGCCCTTCCCGGGATGCGGTGGTGCCCTTCCCGGGATGCGGTGGTGCCCTTCCCGGGATGAGCTGCGTGCCCTTCCCGGGATGAGCTGCGTGCCCTTCCCGGGATGAGAGGGTCCCGCTCGGCCTGAGCCCCTGCCTGTCTCTCACAACCATGGGAGTCTCTTCAGCGGTTCAGTGCTGGTAATTTGCCGGAAATACGCTAGATGTCAGTTGCCTAAAGAACGTAAGTTAAAGGCCAGGTTTGCCGTGAGGCTCATGGCTAGTTATAAAGCACTTGTGTTAGTTATATATTGACTCCTTCCTTGGTGGTCCTCTTGTAATCTGAGGATCCGAGCAAGTGGTTAAATGAGTGTCTTTTGCACCTAAATCTGTTCTTACCCCTCTGTGCCATCACTTCTTGGGTTTTTCTAGATAAGACATGAAAAACAAAACAGTTTTACAAGCATGTGGAGCCAGTGATTGTTTTTTAAACAGGCTGTCTTTGTTTTGATCTGTGTGTGGCCAAGCTGTGACAGTTCTGTCCCATTGGACACAGTGCCTTGCCATGGGTTTCCTTTGGATGTTGATAAAAACACCTGAAATTCAATCATTTCCTCTAAAAAAATCCATAAAAGACAACAGTAAACTAGAAGCTATCTACACAAAGAAAAAAATAGTCAATTTCCCAGATATAATAAGCAAAAAGTTATTAGAAGGTTCAAATCATGTTTGATATGTAAGGAATTTGGTCCTAACCTAATTTAAATTGTCTTAATTTAAATTTAAATTTAAATAATTAAGACAAAATACATAAAGATATTAAATACTGGCTTTTAAACAAGTCCTTGTGCTTTTGTCTTGTGCCCTTTCATCCAAAGTCAAACAATTTTTAAAACATGGAGTAATTTTCAGCTTTATTAGAGATCTCATTTAGTCTAGAACCTTTGCAATTAACAATCCACATGGTAATGTCGGGGAAGAACCACCAGAACAAAAAGAACAACTGTTCACCAGATATGTCAGTCTGTCTCCAGCATACAGCAGCAAGATCTGGACCAGTGATCTGTATTTTTTTAACTGTTAAACAACTCTACTCCTATAGAAATTTGGGTTCATTTCTTACATACACATATTGCAATTGTTCCTACTTACTTTTGAAGAAATAACTAGTGTAAACGAGGCAGAAAACAATTCTTCATGCATTTGTTATCTTCTTTATTTTTGTGTGAAACATATTTTAATTTTGTGACATAGGTGGCATATTGGTGCAAAGTTTTCCAATTAGCGGAAATGAAATCAATTTAAAAATATTTGTTATGACAAACATGTTTTTGCACTTTTAACACAGAACGCCAGTGATATTGAGAGGAAATATATTTGGTTTTGAAGCCCCAATCGTAACAGTAATAACAAAAATATACAAGACAGCACCAAAGATTTTGGGAAGCCCCTCTGTGCTACTTAAGCAGCATATTTGATGCTAGACAAGAAACTGCAGTACTTCCATATATTGAGAAAGGGGATGTTACATGCAAATGCTTCTTTAATGGAAACATCTGATGATTTGATAGGTAAAATAAGTAGCACTAAGATTATTTTAAGCCTCATGGGCTTAAAATAAGCCTTGATGGCTTGGCAGTGAAAAATCATGCCAGTAGAGTTGGATATTTTTTTCTAGCTACATGTCCCTCTATTCTTGCCCCACGGCTTCTCTGCTTCCTCTCCCTAACCCATTTCTCACCTGTTTTTTGCTCCACAATTTTCTTCTCCCATCACATCTTTTCTCTCTGTACCTTCCTGTGAAATGCCTGTGCCTGCAATTCTGTGGAATTTACTCAGATACAAATCCATAACGGATATACACAACCTGGATGCAATTACTTACACATTTAGCTCTATTTACTATTTGTTGGTCTTGATAGATAAAGATTCAGCATGAACTGAAAAGCTAAACCTTTGGGAGAGGTACCAACCACGTTGATGGATATCAATCAGTGACAGAAACTGTGCTCTACAAAAATTCCACAATAAATATTGATGTTTATGCAGCTGTTCCAAGGCACTGTTACGGATTTGGATGACCTGTTTTCATGCCCAGTTTAGATGCCAGGAGATATTTTGTAAAGCCCTAAACTTTCCTCAGGTAAGACTCTTCAGCGAGAGAACAAAGGAGAGAGCAGATAAAGGAGAGAAGTTTTGAAGGACAGAGGGAGGTTGCAGAGAGAAGGGGAGAGGTTAGGAGGGTCAGATGCAGAGGTCGAGAGAAGCCGCTGCAGTGCGATTAGCAACATCCAGAAATGTGAGCGTGGACAGGTCTGGGGGAGCTAAGGATGTGAGGTTAGACATGTCCAAAGAAACGGAGGGGCTGAGGGAAGAAGCATCCTGAAAGGTGAGATTGGAGACCTCCACAAAAGGTGTAGAGATGAGATTGGAAACATCCTCAGGAGTCGATGACGATAATCCAGAGGACCGCTGGAACATGAAATAGTTAAAGTCAGTGAGGTCTAGAGATTCTGACGAGGTGGAGGAGCTGTGCTCGGAGACGCCTGGTGAGGATGGAGGGATTGTGCAGGAAAAGTCCAGGGAAGCTGAGGAGGTGTGGCTGGAAACATCTGTGGAGGATGAAGAAGTGAGACTGGAGAGGTCTAGGGAGAGTGAAGAAGTAGGGCTGGAGAAATCTGTGGATAGAGAGGTGACACTTGAGAGATCTAAAGAGATTGAAGAGCTGCTGCCAGACTGATCCAGAGAGCCTGATGAAGTGACACTTGATAGGTCCAGTGAAACTGAAGAGGAGAAACTGGAGCGCTCCCAGGAATCTGAAGAGGTGAGACTGGAGAGCTCTACGGAAATTGAAGAGGAGGTACTGGAGAAGTCTGAGGAGAATGAAGATGTGAGACTTGAAAGGTCCAGAGAGGATGAAGAAGTGAGACTGGAGAATTCCACAGAGGATGAAGAGCTCAGACTGGATAAATCCAATGAATCTGAAAAGGGGATTTTAAAGAGTTCCAAGGAGGCTAAACTCTTGACACTGGAGGGGTCCAGGGAGGCCAAAAAAGTGAGACCAAGTAGGTCCAGGTAGGTTGAAGAGATGACACTGAAAAGCCAAATAAATCACCAACATGATGGGTGTTAAATCAGGAGCATTTAAACAAAAGACCTCTATCATCACATCAAAACAAAATGACAGCAAGACCCCCAAAAAACCTTTTTTTTTTTTTAAATAATGATTCATACTCTGTGATTGGTCTCTTAGTAGTTTCTCTTTTGGTGCAGAAAAACTCCAGTAGTAGGAGCCCACAGAATTGTTGAGAATGTTGTGCCTTTCCAGGGGACCAGGACAGAATCAAACATACAGTTGCAGACAGTCTTCTCTCCTGGCATGTCTATCCTTGTTCAACCAGATTTATTTTTCTGTGTAGCATGTGGAAGATTTATTTTTGGAAGCTAACAATGTGCTGAATTGATTCTGTGTCTGAGAAATACACATTTCAGGAACAGCAGTTCTAACTGTTATCAGATAAAAAGCGGTCTTATTTTATTGCCTTTCTTTTATACCTCTGGATCTAAAATATGTATAGTAACAATAATTTTTTATTTGTACTAGTTTAAATTGTTTAATAAAAATATAATAAAAAGAAGTTGCGATAGAAGGCAGATGTGATTAAAAAGGGAACAGAACAGCTTAAATTTCAGTTCAAAAAGGTGCATCTAATTATAGTGTGAGTAGATCAAGAGGCTGATCCACAGCTGCCTTCTCTCATCTCCAGGCCACGCTGCAAAGCTCAGAGCACTCAAACCCATGGCTGCCTCTCCAGACAGGCACAGGAAGGCACAAAAAGCTCTTCACTCACCACAACCACGTTTTATGGACCAAGAAAGTGCAAGGTGCAGGAGGCTGCAGGTGAACACACCCAGCTCTGCCCGTGTTCTTACACAACCCATGTCCAGATGAGCGTGTAATGGATTTAACATAATCACCATGGGTGCAACTCCCACCCAGGTCACCTCTTAACTGCAGCAGGTGTCTGCTGAGCAGCCAGTGAGCTAGAATGGTGTCTTACTATGCAAACATTAAAATCATGGGGATTTAGCACAACGCAAAAATTGCCACATAAAAAAAAGAGGTACTTATATGCCATTGATGAGACCCCCAAAAGTTCTTGAATATATTTAACACTTATAGATAATGCCTCTGTAATTTAAGAGCTGTTGCAACATGGTTGCAATTCTTTCAAGAGCACAAGTTTATAGATCAAAAGGCAGAGCAAAAGAATTTTTCCAAACATAGGCATAATTTATGATGAAATGACAAGTTTGCTTGCTGTCCTGAATTGTTAATAAAACAAAAGTAATTAACCCCTTTAAAAATCCCTTGTTATTTAAAACCAATATAATTTTGAGACTATCTTGAATCTCAAAGTTTTCTCAAGTGTATTTTACAGAGGAGAACAAATTAAAAAAAAAAAGGCAAATAACAATACAATAAAAAGCCGATGTCCAACAGACTATAAATTCCATCATCTCTTCACTGAGTTCTTTCTGTCTTAATTTAAAATAATAAAGTTATTGCACTTTTCCCTATGAAATAACACTGTCAAGAAACAGGGAATTATGGTCACCTTTGTACAAAACATAGAGGTCAGCAATAACGTTTCCTACCTTGAGTAGCTGTGGATTTACCTCCTTTCTCTGCCTGGGTAAGCCATACTGGGCTGTGCTGGTAAAGCTCTGCTCTTCTCTCTGCTGCTGACCCTAATCTGCTGCACAGCCACTGGGAATGATGCCACTGGTGACAACACGGTCAGCCCCTGGTAAATCTGTCTGAGCCCAGCGCTGCACGCAGCACATCAAACACCCACTGAAATCAGCTCTAATCTTAAAAGATTCAGTTCTCTGCTGTTTCCTATCAGGACAGTATTTTGAAGGTTAGTTGATGAAGATATTGAATTTCAACTTTTGGACACCTGGATTCAAAGTAAAAATAATTTTGCAGTGTCATCCAAGTCTCAGCTGTCCATTCTACAAAATCTGGCAGAAATAGCCTGAGGAGGAACCCAGGATCTGCAGAGCAGAATTCAGGTACACTCAAGTTTTAAAAACCTTGTGCATTACTTCCTCTTTTCCTGTGGTTAATAACTTGTGTTACTTTTTAAATGTGGCTATAACAAAATAGCATCATGATGTAAAATATTTTGTCCACACCTGGTGCTCGTGGTCCTCCTAAGGTAAGCAATTAGTTCAGCTTGGTTGTAACATGTAGCCTTACCTTTAGAATAAGTCAGTTGTACAGCAACATGTAAAGCAAAGCTATAGAGATATTTAAGATAGAAGTTAACAGATCCTGTGGCAAGTGAAAGAACAACTTCCACCTTAAGGAATTGAGGGATTCTAAAATTACTCACTGCTTCCACACAAGCTCTTTACCAGCACTCTTCAGTTCTTCCATAAAAGTGAACCTCAGGTTGCTGACCTTCCCTTTGACCCAGTGCTCTGTTCCAGAGATTGGAAATGTTGCATTTATCACACAGTGGGTGCTCATGTTTACTACAGTTGACATTTATTGGAAATATAAATGCAAGTACAGACCACAAGAGACAGATCAGCAATGTTGTAGGAAATGGTGGTTACAATTTTTCTGTTTTTTTGATGCAAACCCCTGGCTGGCGCTTGTGGTTCACTGCTGTGTGGCTGAACAGGTGCTGACACCCATTGGTGGGCAGGGATCCATCAGAGCCCTCAGCACTGATTTGTTCGCATCACATTCCTACACCTCTGCCCCTCCACTTCCTCTGTCCCTTCCCCTTTTAAAAAAATTCTTTTCTCCTGGTCCTTCAGTTGTGTTCCTCCAGCTGTAGCTGCTTTCTCTTCCTCCTTCCCTCCATTCCTTCAGGCCCCAGAACCCAGAGTCTCCTGCCCTGCCCCTCTCACAGCCGTGTGGTGCATCCATCCACAGCAACCCACACTCACTGCAGTCAATCTCAACACAACTCTCAGCCCATGAAAATCTTTCCACAGGATGGATTCCCCACAGCAAACTGAAATCTGCTTGCTAGTTAAAGCCAGATTTGCAGAAAAGTTGAGTTAAGAAGAAGCAAAAAAAGACCACAGCAGTTGTGAATGTGCATTTTAGGATATGCATTTCAAGAAAAGAAGCCACTCATTCCAGGGATTTCTTCACCTTCACCTCTCTCAGTTTAGATTGCTCAACTCATAGTTCTAAAACACAAATAGACCAGAAAGTTTTGGGAATTAGCCAGAATTGAAACAAAATTTTATTTAAAAAGCGCCACATACAGAAAGCCATACTCTGACAGAATGAGAATGCAGCCATATAAATAAAATAGAAGAAATGTATTATCTTTTAAGAATTTGTTGAATGCCTGTAAAAATTAAATAGTAAGTTCTTTTTTCAGTGCAAGGCAAAACTGTGAGTTCTACTATGCAGTCCTTAGTGCAGAAAAATTTAGAAAAGAAAAAACTGATTTTAGAATATCAAATTATGCTAATGGCTGAGCAAACATATAAAATGAATTTCAAGCTAAGCATTTTTATAAGAAATGATGGTACAGTTTTGCAGAATTTCACATACACTTTTAAAATGGAAATGTTATTTCAGTTGTAATAATCTCCTGTAAAAGTATGGCAAAACTCAATGACTTCAATTAGTACGGTAGTCTCAAGCTGTTTCTGTTTAGAAAAATATTCTGTTTAGAATACTTATTTTTTAAAAGTTACATATCTATATTCCTGTTTTCTTCCCCCAGCACAAACCTTATGGAAGTGCTCTTGTTTGTTAAAATAAGCTCTGTAAGCAGACACTACCAAATAGGCAATTTGATATAACAAAAATGGCATGCAAAATCAAATATGCTGGGCAGGGTGACATTACAGTTCATAAAGGCTAAGAGAGTCTTGAAATCACTTGTAAGCTTAGAATCAAAATTCCAGGAAAAGCCTTGGGCACCATAATACCACCATCAGCTCCTTGTGGGCCGTGCCTCTGCCTTTTTCTGTTCACCCTGTGCCTGGTGGGACAGAGTCCCCGTGAGGAGCCCAGCAGTGCCTGCAGGGTGGCACAGCGTGGCACAGGCCAAGGGCTGACCTTTCCTTCCTGCAGGGAACGACTGGTGACAGTACCAGGAACCTGCAACGAGTGCCAGGAAACACAGACTGGAGAACACCAAGTGAAACCCCTGAGAATACACCTTGTACTGTGAGCAGATCAGTTCAAAGGGTGAGGGGATGGGAACTCAGAACGCCAGCTCAAGTGAAGCACAACAAAATATCCAGTGGATGGGGCAGGTTATTTCTGGAACGTGATCAACTTAATGAGTATATCGTTAAATACTATTTCCTTTTATGTTTGGGCATCTCTTCAGCCACCTTCACAAGGTTTTTTAGTCTTTAATTGGTTCTTTGAAGTGAACACCAACTACTGTAGCAGCTTACAAGATTTTAAGGCTCTGTGTTTATTGTACCTTTATGTAATGGGCTTTTAGAAATGGAGATACTTATAGTAGAAGTTTAAGATAAAATTTGATTTTAAGGTACTGCATGCCCAGCCCATTAATGTGCATTTAGGAGCAGGACTTAGGTCTTGGTAGGTAGGTAAGAGACACTTTGATGTTTTACCTATAGTGCCTGAAAAACAATGAGTACCGTGTTAGTTCAACCAGTCAAGTTAAAAAGGTTATCAAAAAATATTTTGTACATTCTTTTATATTTTCAAGCATCAAGTAATAAGCTTTCTGTTAAACCAAGTTGTATCACACAACTGTCAAAACTCAACAAAAAGAACAATGCTGGAACAACCATTCTGATTAATTTTGGGTTTGGTCCCAAAAGAGGTAGTCCATAAGTCACACAAAAAATAAAAGTTAGCCTAACATGCCAGTGTCCTCCACCATAGGCAGCCTCAGTACTAAATGAGGCTATTTCATACCTGCAAACATAAATTAGTGTTCATGTAAATACAGGAACTACACTTGAAATTTATTTCTTCATCGGTCCAGCTGACCCAATATATTAAATAGCCTTTGAGCCTCAGCCTTGTTAAGAATTCAGCTTTTCTCCAAATTTATAACATGCCTAATACACACATCCTTTAAATAACAAAGAATACATGTATGTAGGCCTGGAGAGAAGCTGCAGGTTGTTATGCCTCGTTAGTGATACAGGTCTAAGAACTATCATCATTTCTCTACAAATGCTGCTGCTGCCATCGAATTCCTCATAGTTCCTCTTGCTGAAGCTGCAAACTCTTCAATTTCAGCATTCAGTCTTTTAATTACCCATTCCAATGCTTCCCGGCCCTACAGTTAAAGGAAAGTTTATTAGTGTGCAAATCTTAGTAAATAATTACAATTCTTCCTGAAAATGACTGAAGACACAGTAGTTGAAAGAGAAAGGAACAGAAATACATGCCTCTGATGTTATCCCAATAACTGGAGTACTGCTGGAACATTTTTCATTTCATGAAAACAATTCCTTATATCAGCAGTTCTCACATTATGATCCACAAAAAACTTTTTATCCTGACTGCTTTATGATTCTCGAGGCTGAACTCAAGATATCTTTGGATTGCCAGAGGACAGACTCTCAACTAAAATACTGCTTCATTGCTCCCACATAACTATTTCAGGTCTGTATGAACGTAGATCCTTGTTTTACAGCAAAAATTAATAATGGCACCAAGAGGGCAGCAAAAGAACGAGTGTCACACTGCTGAGTGAGTGGAGATGTTTGCTCCAGTGAAGATTCAGAGAGCTTTGCCAATAACTATTTATCTTATCTCCATTCACAAGAGGAAAACACGAATAAGTTCAGCATGCTGAGCATTCAGTCTCTACAGGCAGCAGAACTATGTGGCTCCTTTCTAAGACTGCTGACAAAGCCAAAAAAGTAAACCAGAGATCTTTATTCCCTTTGACATTTAGCCAGTTACCACACATTTTACACAAAGCCCATACTTACTTTTTTAGCATTGGAAGAAATTGTGTTTGCCATTAGCCCTTCTAGGTAACTGCTGAGACTGACACCTTTTACAGATATTATTGCTTCTTGTGTCAGAATGGTTCTGAAACAGAGCAGGAGAATGAATTACTCTGAGTAGTTTAAAACAGAAATTCCCTCCTCCCCTACAAGTACATTCCCTCATCAGCTTTGCTCTGTAACACAGAACTTCTTACCCCCTAAACACAACCTACTTCCACACTGTGTAACTGCTTTATGCTTCTACTTAGAAAATAAAGTCCAAGAAAGCCTGGCAAGTACAAGCCTCCCCTGGTGGCTTTCAGCCATTTCCATCTTTAGCAGCAGGATGTTAAGAGTGGAAACGGCAGATTTGGAGTTACTCTATACTGGGAAAACAGTACTAAAACATCCCCTTCAACAACAGGGATTGAACATTTCTGACTGTCCTGACAGGAAAAAACTCGTGTTAGAATCTCTAGAACAATCTTTCAGACTCATCACCACTTCCAGCAGCACAGACTCACTAAGCTCCAAGTTGCCTTAAAACACCAAGCAACAATTGAAACACAAACCTCCAAAATCGGAGGCTAAAGGCACGTAAATGTAGAACAATGAGCTGAAAACTGCAGATGTACACAAATTCAGTTACGGACAGAACAGCCTGAACTGGACTGGACTCCAGCACAGCATGGCCCAAAGTCTCCCAGGGCTCTGCAGAACCAATGTCACTGCAGGAAGTGACAGTCCATTTAATCCTGGTTTAGACAATTTACTGTAACAGAGGCCTCATCTTCTCATCAAGGGAAACCACGGACACTTTCAAAGCAAAATCCAGTCAGTCTCAGAGCAGGAAGGTACTCACTTGTGTGGTTCATGAGGGTGGGGTTTATAGACAAGCCTCTCATCTACTGACACGAGGTTTGTAAATGAAATCTGTAGAACACAGGACAGGATTACCCTTTGATACAAGTAACAGACAGAGTAATACAGAGAACAAAATGTCACATGATTAGGAGACGGTCACAGTGTTTTAAAACATTTTTTCTTAACATCACTCCCACCCCCAAAACTCCTCCTGCTCATCAGTATGTTCATAGCTACAGCAGTGACAAGTTCCAAGAGCCAAGCAGCTCCTTCCTGAAAAACAGAACTGATCAACTATAACCACATCACTTAAACCTTTAACTTGTATTGTTCTCACGCAATTTTTAAGCTATTTTCAAGACGATTTTCCTTTTCATATGTACAAGGTGCTGCTATACTCTGTGTTCCATTTCAGTGGCACAAACTCAACTACTTACATTACAGGATTTAAGCTCCATTGTTTTTTTCACAGGGTCAACAACAGAGTGCTCCTGCACATAGGTCCTTGTCCTGCAGGTGCCGATGAGCTGGGGACAGGCAAACAGAGATGGCATCAATTCCACTCACCCACTGCAATTCTCCATGCCTTTAAATGCACAAGCAGTGGTTATTGCATTGAACAGACACCAAGAGAACACAATTAGGATTTAGCTTAAAACAAAGCTATCCAGTTGAGGCAGATCTCATTTTCCAGATGGAAGCAGTCTGAGATCCAGATTTGGCTGTCAGGGTCACTGTGTGCTGCTGTTAAGCTTTCCCCATACATAAATGCTTAAGCCATTAAACTTGTAAACCATTAAAGTTATGAAGTGATACCCATCTATTATAACAGCGAGCTCAGGAGCTTCCCCTCCCTGCGGTGTCCCTTTCTGGCCTGTGACACAACACCCACCGATTTCACAATGGACGGGATTCCCCACTCTGTGCTCAGGAGCCGGTGGCTGTGCAGCTTCCCGCTGGGATCCACGTGTCGGTCCAGGACATCGACCCCCACCACGCTGGGGTTCATGGGGTTGGGGTATTTCCTCATGGCAGCTGTCATCACAGTTTCCCAGGGGTGACTGCCCAAACACAATCAGGACACTTAAGCTGCGCACTCTGTTTTCAATAGGATTATATCATTCCACGGAGAAAAAACTCTATTTCGTTGAGTGTGCAGTGCACACGAAAATACAACATATCAGATTAATTGTGTGTGCTGGTTCTATTACAACTGGATAAAAATGATTTCCCTGTGACACCATGCTAAAAGGCTTTTCTTCGTCCAGATCTTCCTAATACTGGACTGATTTATTAAGTTTCTACTTCGGTGTAGCGAGCGCTCCCTTCAGATTATTTTTAACACAGACGTTCCGGAGCACTCGAGCCCCGGCACCACGAAGGGCCTCACGGTGCCCGGGAGGGCGAGGGCAGCACAAGGACTCCGCTCGGTGCCGGCAGCGCCTCGGCCCCGCTCAGCTGCACCCTGCCGAGCTTCCGCAGCCCCGGGAGCCTCCCCCAGCCCGCGGCCCGGCCCGGCCCGGCCCGGCAAGGCCGTGCGGGGGAAGGTCAGGGGAAGACGCGGCCCGGAGCTGCCGGTGCAGCCACGCAGCCCCCGGCCGCCGGACGAGGCCCCCCGCGCCCGGGGCCGGCCTGGCCGCCCGCCCCGCCCGGCCCGGCATGGCCCGGCCCGGCCCGGCACCTACTCGAACACGTGCTCCGAGGTCCAGATCCTCATGGCTGCGGGGCCCGGCCCGGCCCGGCCGCGCTCCGGGGCCGCCGCCGCCGCCGCCGCTCGGCTCCGCGGGCCCGGCTCTGCCGCCGGGGCGCGCGCCTGCGCGGACAGCGCCCGCCAATCGCCGCGCGGCGCCGCGCTGACGTCACGGGGCGCGGACGGCGTGACCGCGGCCGTGCCCGAGCGGGGACGTTCGGGGTGAGGGTGGGGCGGCCGCCCGTGACCCCGGCCCGGCGCGGGCTGGGCGTGAAGGGCGCGCCCCGGGGCGGCACCGCCGGCTCCGCCGCCCATGGCGCAAACACGGGCGGGCGCGGTCTGTGAGCCGCGCTCCGGTCAGCCCGGGGCTCGCTCGCGCCGCCCGGCCCGGGCTGCCTGTGGCCGATGACGTCACGGCGCGGCCGGTACCGGCGGTGCCGGCAGGGGGCGCGGCGCTGTGACGTCACGCGGCGCGGGGCCGGTTTTGTAAGAGGTTTCGTAAGGGTTTCGTAACCCGCAGCGCCCCCGGCTCTTGGCGAGCTCATCCCGGTGAATTCCCGACAGCGCGGGGAGCGCCCGAGCTCGGGGTTTATTAAAAACCGGCGGTTCTGTCCAACAGCAGCGCAGCGCTTCGTGCGCGCAGAGCGGGATGACCTCGGTGCACTCCTGCCCGCACCGAAATAGCCTCAGTGGAAAAGCACAGCGGGAAAGTTCCCAGAACCGATTATATCACACAGACACCGCTGGCACCCGGCCGGGCTGAAGGACTCGGCAGCGCTGAATGTCCCCGGTGCGCCCCCAGCATCACCCCGGGCCGGGTCACGGCGAAGCTGCACAACTGACCACGTTCGGCCAGGAGCAAATATTAAACGAGAGCTGCTAAGAGAATAAATTTTTGCTGGGCATACCTATCTTGATCCTGTATTCCCTGACTCTTTCACCTGATTATTCCTGGACATGGCTAACTCACTGCTGATCTGCCAGACTGGACAGAGTAACTGCTGGGAGATGGTGAGGCGGCTCTGAATCCACTGCAGCCTGAGTGCCCACCGAGTGATTTTTGCAACTGGAGAATTTTCTAAAGGATGTTAAAAATGCAAAGCATTTTGAGAGGTCTCACTGTGATACAGTTGTGGAAGGAAGGCAGTGACCCTGAAACAGGCAGGGACAGTGCAGCAGATACCCATCCCTTATCCATCAGGCTGCCTCGCATCAGGTTGTTTTTTTTCTTTAAAAGACAAGTTACCTAGTGGAAGCAAAGCAAAATGTCATCTCCAAGAAGGAGGCATGCCAACATATGGTGCAGATTAGGAGCTACATTTCAGCAGTTTTGCTCATGTAAGCTTCAGGCTATTTTAACAGGAGATTTGTTAAAGTAGGTTTCTATATCTGAGTGATATCAAGTGTGGAACTACTTATAAACCTGTCTTGTAAGAGAAATAACACAATTATAAATAACACAGCCAGACTTTAAGAAAATGAAATGCACATTCTGAAATGCAGAATAAAAAGTGGCACATCCTAAACATTAGAATTATTTACATATATTATGATACCACAGAATCCAATATCTTTGCCCCTATATGTTGTCAGTATCTGTCTTATAACTGAAATAATAGAAAACACTCTGTCAGTTGAGTTTGTCCAGTCCCAGCCAGAACCAAAATGATCACTGAGGATGATGATGGACATCTGCAAGAGAATATAAAAACCTGTGGAAACCCATGATGAGGTTCCTTAGTCCATGTGTGTCTTTCAGGGGCTGTTTGCTCACAGCTGCTAGATCCAACTGATGCCTGAGGTGGGCCTCATGAGTCTATGGTTCAGATTTTGGCAGAGAAATCCCCTCGGCATCGCTAAGAAATACTGGAAATTGCCCTAGGAATTCTTTAGGAAAGTGCTCTGGGGGTCTCAAACAATTTATCTGCTGAATGAGGCATGGAGATTTGGTATTGCCAGACCCATGTTTGCCAGCAGGGAGGTGTGACTCGTCCCCTTTAAACAGCCTCATAAGAACCTCACAATTTTGACCAAAAAGCATAAATATCAGGAAATAACTCACAACCCAAAAGTCTCTTATCTCCAGCATTATATACAGATCATTCCTGCTCCCCATAGTGGGTACCAAACCCCAGATTGTCAAACCCAATCGAGCCTACACTACTATGTAAAAATACAGGTATTGTGTGTCTGTTAGGAAAGCAAACAGTACCTTGGGTCACAGCCCTGCTCCAGAGATCAACCCTGCAGCACGAAATGTCACTGAATTCCACCCTGGGAATGGTTTGGTGACAATGGCAGTGACTCAAGCTGCACTTCTGAGGGAAATGAATGCAAGCCTGAAGTGCCATTCATCATGGGTCACCAGCACTGAGCAGGGCAGAGGTGACTGGTACAGGGAGGGGTGACAGTGGAAAGCTCTGAGCTTTCTCTGTGCAGAACAACTCTGCACTTTCCACATGGCAGCTGAGGTGTTTACTGTTTCTTACACTTATGAAAATTGTGTTTTTTGGTGTATTTCCCCCCTGTCATGTTCTGAAATATGGCTGTGCTGCAGTAACACAGCACAAGTTCCTTGATCTGAAATCCAAGTTTTATTGATGTGAAATATTGGTATTCACAGGCAATACTAATGAAAACCATTCAAAAGTCCTGCTCTATCCTTGATCTGGAAAAACAAGTTCCCACTCCCTCTGTCAATCTGGCAGTTGTAATGACAGAAAATTGTCAGTGTTTTCTTTTCCAGACATACCTCTTCAGTGACTTCCATTATACAATTCCTCATGGCTGCCCAGCTGTAAACACTCTTTCATCAGCTGTCAGCTCGGTATCAGCCTCCTCATGCTTGGCTGTATTTTCCTGAATGTACTTCTTAGAGAAAACTTTGTTGGCTAGCAAAGCTCTTTTTCAGTGATCCCAAAATTGGCTCATTAATTCCTGGCAAGTCATAACGCATCCCTGCATGACAAGGTCACATCAAATGATGCTTTTAATAAACAAATACCTTTATTGATGGAAAGAAAGCACAGCAATACCTCAGTGCAGGGTGGTACCAACTCCTCTATCTTTGCCTATACTTTAACAGGAGTTTTGTTCAAATAATTTTATCCTTCTAGATTTCTGATTAATGTCTAAAGAAGACACCAATGGGGAAATGCCACCACTACAGAACATTCTGGAAAAGTGGTGTTAGGCACAAATGAGTTTCCATGATGAGACATTGATTAGGTCAGAACAGAGCTCAGAACACTGTAGCAGGCATTAACATGCTTTGCTGCATCTCTTTCTCTCTTCAGAGAAACATAAATGGAATAAAAATATTTCCCTTTCAGTACTGAAAATGTGTTTTTATTGAAGTAACCAGTATTCCTTACCAGTTTTACCTCCTCTGCAAGGCATTAACAGTTTCAGTGCTGATGTTGAGTCCTGACAGTGCTCCCCAGTGCTGCAGCCTCCCACCCCAAAGCCCTTCACCTTCCTTCTTCAGAACAGGTGCTGTCCCAAATTCCCCATCACTGTGGCCTGGAGCCCTCATTTGACCCAGGGCAGAGGGAAAGGAGCAGAATGCAGCAAACAGCACTGGGGAGCTCCGGGCTCCATAAACCTCCCACCTCAGGCAGGGGAGCTGCACTGCTGAAGTGCCCCAGTGCAGCTGCTCTGCAGCTCTGCCCAGGCTGGGGGAGCTGGGGCAGCTGGCCCTGGTGCCACCTCAGGACAGTTATTTCTGTCCCTGGGCTGCTGCCCTGGGACAGCTCTTCACGTGGCCAGGATGAGCCCTGAGGAACAAGGCACTTAAATTTCTTTTTGCACAGTGAGCCATAAATGAAATGGAGAAATGGCAGGAAGGCCATGCAGTGCTGCAGAGCAAGAAAACTGATCAGGGCTCATTTGGCCAAAGCTGTGCACCCCCAAAACACCGACTGGAACCAGCTTGGCTTTAGCCAGACCTGCAGCAGTTCTCGCAGTTCAGTGCATTTCTTCTTCACCTGCTGACAAACACTGACTTGTTTGTATCATGCAATTCTGTTCAGCTCAATTACCACACAGAGCAGTGTAAGACAACCAATTGCCTGTGATTGTTTCTGCACTTTATCTGTTGACCAGGAGAGTTTTGTTTTCTGTCCTGTAGTATTTACTTCCTCCCTCAGTTTGAAAAAAAAAAACCAGTTCATAGAAATAGACAACAAATTCCCTTCCTTTACTCCTTCATATTCTACCAGAAATAGCCATCAAGTTACCTAGGAAATACAAATAAAATTTTTTACAGATTATAATTTTCTATCCTCAGACTAATACCTATCGCTCCCTAAGAAGAGGTGAAATTCCAGTGACCATATCAGCTTTCAGAGAAGAGATGCAGGTGTTTATATAATTACCAGGTAATCAGTTTGAGTCGATTCCTGCCTTCTGTGTGGAAAAACCACGAGAGGGGGCTGGATCACATGTGTTATCTGTCTGTTCCACTCCCTGTGTGTCCCTGTGAGAACAGACTTTTAGATTTCAGTTTGCACAAGTCCTCATCTGTGATGAAGCAGCTTTTCTCCCCTTTGCAGATATTGGTCACCACAGCTACAATTACACTGCACAGCTCTCTGGGATGTGATTTCAATAAAACCAGTCTTAGGTAACCTGAGAGCAATTTAGAGTGCAAATGTGAAATAAGTGAAAAACCAAAAATTAGTGATAAGATCTACAGAGACCTGTGGCCACCTGATGTGGAAGGACAGCTTGGGATCAGAACTGCTGATTTGTGATACTGCTACACTGCTGTGCAGCCACTCAGCTTTAGCTCTCCCTTCATTTAACATGTTCTGGGACAAACACTTGATTTTCAGATCCTTTTTATTTTATTATTTTGCCATAAAATGTGCCAAGAAGCTTAGAGCTGCACACCTTCAGGGTTCTGTTGCTTCATATACCTTCTTTACCCAGCATGTCATACATCTCCTGCAGTTGGGAAACACTGTCTAACACTGCCTACACTAACCAGGCTCTGGCACTGTGTATATAATTTGAATGCAAATAATTATTTTTCTTATCAGCTTCCTCCCCCACCTGACAACATCCGAAATGTAAACGCCCTGCACACAGGATCCCACCCAGCTGGCCTGAGCTGCTTCTGACACTCACTCTTCCACCTGCCCTCTGGGCTCCTTTGTTTTAACACACTCCAATTACTACAGAGAAATGATTTACCACCTTACACAGCTGTGCTTGGCTTTATGTTTGGCAGCAGAGAACTTAAACAGGCAGTACATAGCCCTTAAATGGCTTTTGACAAGGAATGATCTGGTTTCAATTTGAAAACTGACTCAGAATTTGTAACAAGGTAGGTGCTGTTTGACTCATTTTGACTTTTTAATTTAGGTTGTGCAGTTTCCTTGACTTGCAGAGATGATGGCTCGACAAAGATCTTGTCTGTGTCAGGAGTGGGAGCAGCAGCTGCCACCAGGTGTTAGACTGAGCACAGATCCACGGTGGTGCACTGCTGGTGGATCAAGGGGACTGTGCTGTTGTCTGGGAAACAGTCTCTGAAACTGAGAATGTGACAGATCCCAGCCAGTAATGTTTGCTCTTGCGAGCATCACAAATGTGCATGTGATCAAGTAGGCAGATGATAATCACATGTTATCACCCACAACTCATGAGCAAGCACAGTAACAGCACAATTAAAGACAAAACCACAAATTCTAAAGTACTTGGAAAATGCTGATGATTTTGTGTTGTTTGGAGATAATTATGTTACTCCCTCAGTGATTCTTGTGTAATTCAAAAGATGACAACAGTTCTTATAAAAACACCGTGCTCTCAAACATTTGTTGGGTGCAACTTTCAGTGCAAAGCCTGAAGGACCAGTGATGACAGGTCAGAACTATGTATTAAATCACAGACATAAATCATGGTCTTTAGACCTTGCTCCCTTGTCCAAATCATGGGCTTTAGACCTTGCTTCCTTGTCCAAAATTTCTATCAGACTCTTAGTTTCAGAAATCTCGTGCTCCATCAGCTGTCTTTGAACATGGTTTAAAGAAACTACAACCCGGAAATAGAAGTTGTCACTTTGTCATATCCAAAGTATGGCATGGAAGTGGCCACTTAGTCATCAGTGCTGACATCCCAACTGTCACCAAGACAATGATCAGCTCAGTTATAAACCAGACAGCCTTGAAGCACGAAGGCTGTCATGTGCCTGAGGCTGACCACACAGCCCTGCTGAAGGCAAACCATTAAATAATTTTTCTTCTAAGTTTTGTGGGCCAGAGAACAGGTGGATCCTGGATTTAATTATTCCTGTTGTCCTTAATTCTGGGGTTGTATTTGTTACTGCTTTGCAGGGGGGGATCCAGTCTCAGCAACTGAGAACACAAAACCTCCTTCTGGGACTGCAGTCCTCAGATCTTTAATGGGAAAAGCAACTTAAGGCTCAGTCCCAGCCTCTCATCTGGGCCTGACAGTGGGAATTCCCAGCCCCAAACTGAGAAGAAATGTTTGGACAGGACTGACAACTCACAGGGAAACAGCGAGTATGGAAGTAAAAAACTGCACCTGAAAATGATCCTCGTCCTTCTGGGGATGAGGCACTTTAGCAGTTTTAAATTTTCAATATCTTATCTGGCCACTGGTGGTTTCCTGTTTGTAGCTTCACTGAAAATACTTCTCTCTTCCAAACAGCATTCTCATGAGTTCATTTCATCCAACCTAAGGGATAAACTATAAAAGAAAAATAAATAAAAAATATTAATCAAATAGGAGAGTTTAAGGTGGAAACAAAATGCAAGAATGTTCCATGCAAGTAAAGTAACAGAATACTCTTCATGCACAGTGGGGACAAAAGTATTTTTTTTTCATGGTATGCTCTAATAACATATTAAACTGTAAAGTAATCAGACTCCATAAAATCTTCACTAATGTAAAAGTCATAGATTCCATTTGGGAAAAATCAAAGGCCATGAGATGGTGTGATCAAAACTGTCAGAGTCCAGCTTGATAAAACACCTGAATCTGCATTTCCTGTAGCCACTGTCTGACACCCAAGGCCATGGGGGCTTTTTTATGTACTTGGCTGTGAAATATTACAACACTTAAAGAAAGTGAGAGGAATATGTGGGAATACTTTTAATCTTGGCAATCCTGCAAGAGAACTCCACTACACTCTGTCCTGATCCAAAGCCAAACACATTTAACAGGCCTGCACAAACCTGCTACACACAGACCAAGAAGATTTGAGTCAAACATACGCAACAACTTGAAGAGGGTCTAAGAATTTAGTAAATATTACAAGAACATATGAGCTGTTAAAATCCATTTGCAGAGCAGCCCTGGGTGTGTTTCACTTGTGAAGGACTGCAAGTAAAATCCTCACAGCCTGGACTCAGCCCTCAGACTCTTCTAGGCTTCCACCACCCACATTATTGTTAATTAGTACAGCTTCATTAATGATGATTAATTAGACAGCCCTTTAGGAGAAAACAACTTTTTCACCATTGTACTGCCTAGACTTAATGTGCTGCTGAAACGAAGCGGTCTGCAACTTAGTGTTTCAGCAATAATGAAAGGAATAAGCCACATGTCTAAATAAAAAATGAAAAAGTTGAATTCCGTGCACTGAGAAATCATCAAATTTATCCAAGTATGATTAAGTCAGCTTGGATTAATCTGTCTCCTGAGGATGGATATATGTTCTCTGTTACATGAGTGCAGAGTCCAAAATGCTAACAGACAGCTACAAACTGAAGTTAATTTTTTTTAAAGAAATAAGTAGTTTTAGCATTGACTACTCTTCTCACAAAACCATTTAAAATGCAATTTTTCATATCTAGGTCTTGCATAGTGTACATTAAAGCACTTTCTACCTAGCTGCCTCAATTTATTTTTTTCTCTAAATTGAGTAATTTAGGAGCCACTTGCAAGTTGCTGCATATATATCAGTTCTAATGCACTGCAGTGTATCAGTTCTAGTGCACTGATTCAATAGGATATTCAGCAGGTTAATGATTAGTAAGATGGAAAAATGGAGTTTAAGCTTCTTAGTGTGAAATTTTGGTTTTCATGCTCAGAAATAGGAGGCATTTTTAGATACACCTTCTACTGATGAAAAATTCTGATTATCCAGGAGCTCTCAGAAATACACAGAATACTTTAAAGCAGTAATTATTAAAAATAGAGGTCTTTAAAAGGCAAGATGAAGAGCAGAGCTCTTTTTTTTTTAATCAAGATATGCATTCTGTATATCTTCAAAGCCAGGAAATGTGCAGTGGGATGAGTAGCATAGGAACAGGAGAAACAAATACTGTGTGACCAGCTGGACAGTCCTGAGCAGAAACACTCACACAGGGATTGGTGCTGCCAGGTCCATCAGTGAGGGGGGCAGCAGGCAAGGAGGCTTCTAAGGAAAATGATGATATTAATAAAAAGCTTCCACAAAGTTTCATTAATCACAAAACTTGGAGACAATCCAGTATCAGCAACAACTAAAACTTATTTAATTTTCTTACTCCAAACTCAATGTTTGTTTCCTTTGTAAATATATGTTTCAGGGTGTCACATACCTTAATCCTTGCTGATGAAAGAGGCTGTAAATATTTGAAAGGGAAAAAAAATGTCATTAGGCAGGAAGATCTTTACAGTTGACTATTAACCTGAACAGCACCTTTTAATTGTTCTGTTTTAGTGTTCTTGATTCTTTGATGGCTTTATTGAAGAAAATACAAAATACTCATGCCCACAGAACTCTAGTGAAATATGTAAGTAGTAGTATCTTAGATGTTACAAATATGAAAATGTTGAGGAGATTTTCTAGGATCAGTTAAGGACTCAATTCCCAGGAAAAAATTAGTGGGAGTTGAGCTTCCAACTCACATGTTATCTTTTCTGAAATATGCCTTGGATGGCTTTCCTGAGACAAAGAACAGTTCACCTGGAACTAAAATGTTCCAGGTGAACATTTTCCCAGTGAACTGAATTTTCCAGGTGAACTGAATTCCCAGTTCAGTCATGTGAGCCACATTTTCTCCCTGTACCTTATTATATTTTTAATTTCATTTCCATGCTGGCACTTAGGATGGGTGTGTGTAGGAGCCCTTGCACAGAACGTGACATCAAAATTTTCTTTCCTGAAGTAGTTTTGTTAATGACTGTTAGGGAGGACAGACCCATCTTTTCCCTAAACCTTTGCTGATGGTAGGGTTTAGGAGGGGTTGGTAATTATTGAAAGGGCAAGGTAATTTTAATGTATATTTTTGCTGTATTTTTAATGTGGAGAAGCCTTGAGGATTTTATTAAATTGCCCTGTACTTCAGGGACTTAGTTTTATTAAAAATGAATCCTGAAAAGATAATTTAGCAATGGATCTTTACAAACACAATCACTGGAATACAGACATGAGTTGAGCTGTTCAGATGAATGTTTCCATAACAGCACACAGCTACAGCAGGTCCTCAGAGACACAGGATACTGTTTCTATGGTAATAGAAGGTCTGAGCCTCCAGGAGGCACAGAAATCCTTTATGAAAAATAGGAACTAATATTTTCGATTAAGGAGACTTCCTTGTTCACACTTATTTGTGTTTAGCCACTTGTCACCTTTTTGCCATGTCTAGATTTTAGGCTGATGATTCTCTTGAGCTTGTTTTTTCTCAAACAACAGACAAGGTGTCTGGACATTCTGTCTGTCCACCTCTTACAACTTTTTAAACTGTTGGTTAATTTGAGTCCATGCAGGGAATTCAGCTGCTTTCTGTCCTCAGCTGAGGGCAGGAGGGGCAGGGAAGAAAGGGCAGAGGTACAGGATATGCACTTATGGTGCTTTGTGAGCATCTCAGATAGGCAATGGTAACTAGTAAACGAAAAATGCTGGAAGGCAGCACAGGAACAATTTCAGAGCAGTAGGAGAGTACACAGAGCCACAGACAGTGTAGGAGTGTCACTTTTTGTTTCAAAACATAAATTATGTCCCTGCTAAGTAATACCAGTTGTTAACAATGCTGGTACCCTCAATTCTTCATGGTTTTCCCATGTTCCTGCATCCTAGATGCATGGCTGTAAAAATTCTTCCAGATTATTCTATTGGGGTCAAATCACAAAGGATCTGTAATGTGCTAGTAGTGAGCAGATTCACAACAGAACCTGAGCACTCCTTTGCAGGAAATCACCAGAAATTGAAACTAATCCAAGTAAAGAGCATTATAATTACTATCTTCAGCAATTTCAGAGATCCATGTATGCAGCCTGAATCTGGCTGCAGTGAGTGTCTGGATGATGAAGACTTTTCTGAGCATGTACCCAGGATTTCAGGACAAGGAGATAACATTAATAGCTGAAAAACTGCTGATACAATTCCAGTGTCTGCTTTTGAAAATCGGAGCCATTAATGGTGTCAATAAATTTGAAAAAGTCATGGTAATCCAATTACTGCTATTTTAAAACACTAAGGTTCCTTTGTAGCTATGGAAACGAAAAATGCAGACATTAATGAGCAAGGGGAAAAAAACCCTGGTGTTTCCTTGACGACAGATAAAAGCAAAGCTCCATGAGACCCAAAGGAGAGAGGAACAGAAATACCTCTCACCGTGACAGACAACTGAAATCCAAGTCCAGTGCAACAAGAAACTTCCCTCTGCCAGGAGTGCTGTTTCACAGGACCATTCCTGCCTTTATCTTGCAGTTATCCTTGCATGAGGCACTCAGGGTAAGAATTGCAGCCTTAAAGCACGTGGTGGGAACTGGAACCCTCCCCACCAGGGGAGAGGCACAGTGCCAGATCTGAGCCTGCCCTGGTGCTTTGCAGTGAGGATGTGACTCATGTGCTCCACAGCAGCTCAGTGTGGGCACAGGGGACACCACCGTGGCACCCCCAGGGGCTGGAGAGCTCCTGTTCCCTGCAGTGCACCCTAAATTCAGTGTTCATTTGTACATTTATATATAGCACCTCTTCTCCCAGTGAAAATATGTACAACTGTTAGATAAAAGTATGACACAGATACAAGCACTTTGCAACTGCAACTTAATGGTTATTGCTTGAAATTTAGCTGGCAGCTCTCACAAAATTCACAAAACATTGTTTGTCACAGGAACTCAACATTGTTCAAAGATAACCTGAGAGTGGAATTGAGACAGAGCTAAATAAGAAGATACCAGTCAGGTTACAGGGCTATTTTTCAGTGGATAGCATAGAGCATAATAGAATATTGATATGTAAAATGACTAATAAAATAATAAACAGAAGAGTTAATTGGCAAGTTTCTCCCAGGCATTTTGGAAGAGCTGAATTTTCAAAAAAGGTCTCACTTTAACTCTATCCAACTTATGGTATAAGTGAAGATCCCTTCATAATGGGAAGGACAGTGTATCAAATGGTTCAAAATATTAAATTTTGGGGTGTCAATAGCAATAAAGAGCTGGACACTAAGCTACAGGAGTGTAGGATTTCCTTGACAACATGCTGAGAAAAAACCACAACTACGTAGAAATTTATGGGGAAAATAAAAAGAAATACAGAATTGAGTTGTCTGAGTGGTGTGGACCATGGTTTACTGGTGACTGGTGCTGGCCTGGGGTCACGGTGATGGGAATGCTCTGCTGCTCTATTTGTACTTACTGATGCTTCCTTTTATGGGTTTTGACATTGATCTGGATTTGTTCAAGTGATCAATGACCCTGTCAAATTCTATTCACTTTCTCTGTAAAACACATTAAAGTCAATGTACTTGGTGGGCTTTAGAAGGTTTCTGACTACTGTCAGTAGTTCTGAGTTATCTGTTTAATAGCTGTTTTTCTGTGACAAATAAGAAACAGATGGAAAAATGAATACATCTGTAGTTTGTGCATGTAGAAACCACTGAACCTTGCTGACTTTTTGAGTTGGAGCAACTGTTCCTCTGAAAGCTACATTGCTTCTAAATGTGTCATAATGGAAATTATTAATGTTTGTGATGTGATATGCCTGAAAAAACTACAGCTTATTAATCCTGGAGCCGATAGGACCTGGAAAGACCCTTCCTATTCATCCTGCACATCTTCTCTTTTGTGGCAGAGGCACCATAACGTCCTCCACGTTTTAATATTTCAGCTGTCAGCAAAAGGATGATTTGGGAAGGAGGAGGAACTGGAGCTCTTCATTCCCACCCCATCACCTGATACTTCAGCAACAAAGCTGGACTCACATGCTTTTTCTCTCTGATATCCAAGATTTTTCTTGGATTTTAGGCCATCCTTGTAAATTAGTCCATATAACAACCCTTCACCATACCTGCTTAAAAACCCAAACCAGATAAAGCCCCAGATCAAACTGTGTGATGATTCAGCACTTAAAGCCTTACCTAACACACATTAAAACTACATTTGGAAAAAAGGTCTATGGGATTTTAATGGAAGATGGCTTGAGGCTGCTCTTTTTCCTTTTCTTTTCCCTTTCTCCTTTGGTTGTGTCCAGTCGTGCTGTTGGGCTGTGGAAAGAACCCAAGTATTTTAAAGGAAAAATTCAAGTCTTAGTGAAACTGAGGTTGTGTCTGCAACCAGCTGAACCTTTTCAGCTTTGTGGATGCCTTAGCATTTTCTCAGCAGCCCTTGAGTCTTTTCCCTATGGGATCCATTACTTTTGCCTTTAATTTTCCTTGAACTGGCATTTTTTGTCAAGGAGACCCATGTTTGCTTCTAATGGAGCTTTGTCTCCCTTTTGCTGTTCAAGCACATTTTTGTCTTTAAGTTTTTTTCTCTTGGTATGGCCTGACCAGTTTGTGAGGGTTATACTCCTCTTTGGGTGGTAGTTCTTGCTGGCTCAACAAACACAGAAAGTGCCAGATTAATCTTAGTCGTTGTTCTGCAATAGAAGGGTGGTAGTTGGCTGTCCAGTTTAAAATAATGTGATTTTTTGGATATTTTTCTATATTCAAATTTCCCCCAGATTTTTAATAGTGGCTTTAAAAGATTCTGCCAATTCACAAAGCTGTGATCTTTGGGAAAAAAAACAGTCATCTTAAGTACCATGCTGGAGATGGTCAAATGAAAGGTGTGTAAGCAACCATGATTTCTGTACATTCAAACTTAAGAGTTCATGTCTGTAAAAGAAATACTGCTATTTGTGATAACCAATATCCATATTACACAATGGTTCTTCATGGGGATTGTCCTCAGAGGAGGTTTAGGTGCATTTAGACATCCCAGGTGCTACTTCACCTGCAGTACAGTCACCAACACCATGGAGAAATGGTGACTTGGAAATACAGCAGCTACAGGGTCATGAAATAGTTGTCCATGTCATATTGAGACAAAAATGAGCAACACATACACCTCTGAGAGTTACTGCTGCAGGATGTGTATTTGATTACTACACTCTTCCAACTGAGTCAAGAAAATAGTAATTTTTTACAAAAATATGAATGATAATAAGATTGAGCTGATACCACTCATTAATAATGCATGATGTTTAACTAGGCAAAAGAGGTCTTCACTGAGCAAACAGAATAAAAAGATTGAGAATTTAGGGAAAGAGTAATAGAAAAAAAATTGTGGTTCTTTTCTTTTACTTCTATCCACACACACAAAAAAGTTTACAATGTCAGGAAAACAACCAGAGTTATCAAATTGATTTAAGCAATGTCAGCTTGCAGACTACATCAGGCTGTGCAATGGCACTCGGTCTGCAGGAATGGAACCCTGCTGGCAGGCAGATTTCTTGCCTCTCCACTTTTCTGTGTCAGCTGAACACACAGATATTTCTTCATCAAAATTTTCCTGGAGCTGACCTCAGCTGTTAATGTATACATGGAAGGAGGATTTAAGTTTCTCCTGTGGCCAGTAGACAGACCCAACTTAGTGCCAAGTCGGGCTGCTGTGTAATAATGGCAATATCTGAGAGTTTTACCACACAGACACAGAACTGAGGATTGTTTTTCATCCACTGTTGGGTGATTCACTGCTTAACTCCTTTCTCAGTCTTTGTCTAAGTTTGGGATCAGCAGTCTGAGGCCCTCCAGTCCAGTCCTGCTGGTTTTACTGACACTGAGTTGTGCTGATTTGATGTTCAGCTCTGGCTCCTCAGCTCTGGGTGAGAAGAATGACTGCCAGGGCTACCCTGCTGTGAGCAGCAACGGGGGCACCACCCAGAGCCTCCCCTCTTTCCCTCCCCTTTCCCTGTGCCTGCAGCTGCTCTGCTTTTCACTGTCAGCACGACACCAAAGGCAGCAGAAATCCTGCTTGATCTGGGGCTCATCTGGATGTGTGAAAAGATGGACACCTAAACCCCCACACCCCGGAGTGCACATGCCTTCTGCCCAAACACAAGATTTTCTACTTAGTTGTCTCTTCTCAACATACCTGGAGATACACATTTATCAAGTGTCAGTCCCCTACTATCATGGAGCAGCCAAGTCATAAAGGTTCCTTGAAGTTTTCACGTTCCCTTCTAAAACTGTTCTGTCTGTAAAAAGTAAAAAATATGGTAAAAGATATGTTTGAGAAGTGTTCTTGCTTTTCTGACAAAACCTTCCACCTGTCCCTCCCAACAACAGTGCGTTCATAACTGATTTAGTCCCTGTCACTTGTGTCAGCACTTTTATATCAGCTGAAATCCCATTTTCCTCTCATTCCCCATGATATGAAAGGGAACAGCCCTTTTGTCTCACTCCTGTTGGTCTCCAGTAGTTACAACAAATATTCAAGTCTGTTTTCTGACCAATTTAGTTAAGTAAACCTGAGGTGTTGCTGGACTACTGGACAAAACTGGGCTGCCAGCATGTCCTGTTTTTATGGCTGTGTTTTGTGGCATTTTCAAGGAATAGTCCTGGGCTCAGGTGTCCTGCCTGGCCAGTTGTGGAGTGGCTGCTTTGTGTATTGTACTGTGCTACTTGGTGCTACCACAATTTAGGCACCTATTTAGCATGTTCTAAAGCAGAAATATAGGTGTCCTCTGAAGAATATCACTGTGGAAATCTGAATACCCTTCAGGAATACAAGCTCTTGTAGATTAATTAAAAAATAGCAGCAAAAAAGATAACAAAATATTCATACTATATAAAATAGAAAACCTTCCTAAATACTAAATTTATCTTTTTTTCTTTTAGAGGCTGAGGAAGAAACTTGACTGGATTACATCTGCTAAGTTAAAACAAAGCAACAAAAAACCCTTAGAAAAAGATAAAAGGAGAAAAGTCATAATTTTTCATTTGTGCCTGATGGGGTTGTGTATTTTTTTTTTTTTAACTGTTTGCAAATCTTCAGTGTAATGGTTTGAAACCCAGTCGTGTCATTTCTTTACGCCCACACACAGAGCTGCAGTAGTGCAGACACTGTAGCAGGCAAACCATATTCCCAGCATCGGCCATTAAAACTCTTCCTACACCAGCGTGGGCTGCCTGCACCCCCTGCTCTCTCTGCACACACCCCACCACCCACCCTTCACTGTTCAAATGCTTAAAAAAAAAGGAGAAGAGAAAGACACTGAAAAAAGAAAACAGGATGCTTCTTTTGTTTCAACGCTATTCCAGGGACCTGAACCTCTCCACCTGCCTGTGAATTGGCCACCTAAAGGTTAGCAAGTGTTTTGTTGTCATTTTCTATGGACAGAGAGAGAATTCAATTCTAGATGGCAAGACAGAAATTTTAAAGTTACAGTTTTTTTGTTTTCTTTTTTTTTTTTTTTTTTAATTGTGATGGTTCTTTCACTTAGCAACGAGAAAGATTTTTTTTTCATAAAACACAAAGCATTTCAGTTCTGGCCCCACTTCAGCTTTTCAGAGGGTTTTAATCGGTATTTTTTCATCATTTAGTCCAACCTTCTAAACTTTAAAAGATGGATTAGGGTTATTATTTTTCTGTTAGAGCAACCTGTTGATTGCAGTCTGCTGGCTGGAGGTTGTTAACTCTTTCCTAACATGGGAAATGCACAGGAGCAAATTTGATGAAAGGATAAAAGAATTGAAAAAAAGCCTTTGAGGCTTTTAAGCACTAAAAATCCTATTTTTTCCTCATTGTCAAGCCACCAAGCATGTTACAAAACCAACAGATGTGTTAGGTATGTTTCTTTTTAGAAATAGTGATTTAAATCTAAACTAAAGACATATAATAAACTAGAAAGCATTTCTTACAGCTGGAGCTGAGAAAAGTAGCAGTGTAAAAAGTAGAAAAGGAAATATTCTTGATACAAATTGCATGAAGAGGTCCAAAAGGCCAATACAATGTTACTTACACATTAAAATGTATTTTAGGTAACAATATTTTTACTGATTTAAGCCTTTGGAATGTTTTCATATATGGATATTCAAGAAAAGGAACATAGGCAAATATAGAAAACTGTATAATAATGATAAAACCAGTTGCTTCTGTTCTGGAGCAAAAGGAAGGTAAAGCAGATCCCGTTCTTCCTAACAGATTTTAAAACTGTATTCTGGCACAATATTTACAGAAATAATTGTTTTAAAAAGCCCAACCTAACCAGCTTTGCTGATATAACTGTAGAAGTAAGTGTCAAAAATATTTATCCTTTTGATACGGTACAAGAATTTCCAAATTCCCCCAGCCGGTTTTCCAGTGCCTTTGTACTTTAACAGCACACAAAGAAGAGGAAAACTTCAGAACAATGACTTGTACCAAGCAGCAAGATTTCCCAAAGTCAGAATTTGTTATGTGACCATGGAAAGACTCTAAAGGTTTCAGGAGATTATGGAATTAAGCAGTTTCAGCCTGATTCTGCAGAGGACTGAGGCTCCCAACTTTGTTCAGGAGGTACCGGCAGCGTGCAGGCTGCGGGTGGAACTGGCAGAGTTGTGAGATCAGAGACATCCCTTAAGAACAAGGGGAAAGGTGAACTCAGTACTTCTGTTATGAGACATTTCAAGATAGGAAGTCAAACTGAGAAAAGAGCAAAGGCAGAAACAGTTTTCAAGTAAAACGAGATTAACAGTAATTTCTGGGCTAACCAGGAAATGTGTCGGTTCCATTTTGCTTGTTTGAATTGAGAACTAAAAAACTCCAGACCTGGGGTACACTCACAAACGTTTTGCTTCCATCAAAGAAGGAGTGTTTAAAGTACCTGCACAAAGTTTATTTCAGACCCTATGGTCCCCAATGATTTTATGATGCTAAGATTGAAGTAGAAGTTTTGTGTGGTCTATCAAGGGAGTTGTGCAGGCTGTCAGTGTTGGATGAGCAAATGGAAATTATAATCCCACTGTCTGCATCTTCCTCTGACAGTAAGATACTGTTTGCTGCTCTCAGCATCTCTGCCTTCACAAGAAAAAGTAATAATTAGTAATCCTGGAAGATACTTTCTTTTCATTTAACTTTGCAAAGTTCTTTCAAACGTGTAGTTGCAGGATCTTTGGAATCAATTTCCTCACCAGCACAGGAAGAATGTTTATTGCTGCTTTCACTTGCTCACACCCCTGTCAAAACTCTGTAGGTGTCTTTGAAGGATGCAGGGTTTTAAACACCTGGGGTGGGACCTTTTCCACTTGGGACCCAGAAAGGTGTACCAATGATGTGGGGTTTACCTCCTCAAATCCTGACGGGGACATGAACTGAGAGAGGAGTACAGCCCCAGAACTCCCTCCTGTGCAGCACCTGACAGTGGGTTCAGCTTTGTGCAGAGTTTAAATCCATACTTTGCTGTCTATTGAGATAAATGAAGTTAGCTGAGTTTCTCTGAGCAGGACAATATTTTGAACTTAAATGAATATAAATAATCTTGCATAGAGATTGCACCTGAGGAAGCAACACATAAGTAGATTGATTAGAAAGACACAACAAAAATCATTTAATTTCAAACACAGCTAATGCAGTGTAATACTGGTGCTCTGTATTTTGTTACTTCTAGCCATTACAGCAGCCTATTCAACCATATAAATGGGAAGAATCACAGGATGCTGTGAAAGACCCTGGTTCCAGAGTCACTTATTCAAGATTTAGAGATTTTAGATCAAGCTTCAAAAGGTTCTGCTAAACCCTGAAACCTCTGTGATAGTGGCAGATATCTAGACAGCCAATTGCTTTTGTTGTAACTTGCTTTAATTAATTATGGTCTCCTTAAGTCTCTCAGGGTAAGCAGCTTGCAGTTTTAGCATTTGGAATTTGATACTGAGTGATCTCAATAATTAATTTTAAATGCTTATACATGTTTTCAATTTGTTACTAGTTCCAGCATACTGCTGCAATTATTAGTACTGTTTAAATTAAGTGTCCTTTTTAAGTAAATTCACCTTAATAACAGTCAGTCTCAAAGTGGAATTAAATATAATGGGCTCCAGAAATGTGATCAAACTGAAGACAAACTAATTTTGACTGGTTATGTAAAATGCCCATAATCATCTGTTTGTATGATTTGATTCATGCCAGTGTTCTATTATAAGATGTGCATCTTTTTTCCCGGTTGGTTTGTTGACTGTAGCATGCAGTAATCCTCCAGATCTCACTTAGAGGTGAGAACACATTCCTTTAGGAAAGTATCTCCCAGCAGAGCTGAAACTACTTGCTGTATGTAATTCTCTCCATCTGGACAGACTGAGTCTATAGAGCAGAAGCATGAGTCACTGTAAAGCAGTTCAGAATGTCAAGTATTTTCTAGATTCACAGATTTTAAGTGTCTGCAGTGTCATTACCAACTACTGGGAGCATTTCAGGGTATGGGGGAAATCAGGAGGATTTTAAGCAGTAATCCTGGGTCCTGTTAAGAGCTTTTGCTGCCCCCTGAATAACTATGTGACAGGCAAGAAATATGGGAAGAACAAGACAGAAACATTTTTTCATCACCAAAATTAGAGGCCTGCTAAATCAGGGCTCCAGAAATAAATGGAAAGCAATCCAAACAACAGGCAAAACTCTCCAGGATCAATAAAGCTGTTTGAAATGAAAATCTACCAAGACCTCTGGCATTAGTCTATCACCAGAATTATTAAAAGAAAGAGCTCTCACTGAAGTGGATATTGGACAATTATAAAATTACAATTTCACCACCACCCAGCAAGGCTCAGGCTGTAGGGTCTGAACTGGGCAGCTGCTTATCACAGCAGAAAATAAATAAAATAAAACTGAAAATAAAACTGTATCTTCCAAAACATGGTGTTTACAAGGAAATTATACAGGCCAGAGATGGAAATTTTGTAACATTATATTCCAGTTTGGGGTTCACTCAGTCTACCAGCAGAGGAGGTTGCAGCCATCCCAGTCCCTGTTTTAAACAAGAGTTTGCATAAAGAAGAGCAGCCCCTCCCAGGACCCCTCAGTCTGTTCACTTTGTTACCTGAGCACTCCTTAGGGACTCTACACACAAATAAAATCTAATTTTTTAAAATTAACTTTTAAACTGCACTTGACTGTGCCCTATCCTGTTTTCCCTGCAGCTTTCCCCAAGTTTATGGAGGTTTGTCGAGCATGACCCAAACACTTTGAACAATCCTGAGGCATTTTCCCACCTGATTCCTGCTTTCTCATGTCCCACAGGGCACCATTAGAAGAAGCTGTGGACAGCACCCATGCTGGATAACTTTAGCATTCCATATGTGCCAAGTGTCTTCTCTCCACCATTGTTTTCTTTCCCAATATATTTTAAAAGAGCCCTTTAGTGTAAAGTTAAAAGAAAATTAGCTTTAGGAGTAAAAATTAAAAACCCTACCATTGTATTTCAGGACAATGCAACTGAAAGCTGAGTAGAAACTCCCCACATTTCAAAGATTCTTTTTAGAGCTCCCTAATTAAATAGTGATAAAGGATACAGAGAGATTGAAATGTCACTTCATTTTCTTCTGTTTCGACTCTTCCTGTTTTCTGAAGGTTGTTAATGTGACACCAATGTAAAAAAAAAAAAAAAAAGAAAACCCCAACTTCCTACTTCTAATCTGTTTCAAGTCTTTGTCCTCGTTTCTCTCTGCTTGCATCAAGTATTGGCAGAAATGAGAAATTTTTGCTGAAATGCCTGGATCAATCAAAGGTACGTGAACTAAAGTTATTTCCAGACTAAAGACTTAATTATTTCCAGATTTCCACTTCTGCTCTCTGGCATCTAAAGTAGGGATCACTAAAAGCTTTTAAGAAAGGTAAAGACTCCTGGTATAATTTGGTATATTGTGTATGTTCAGAATGTTGAAAAGCTGCATCTGTGGGGTTACAAAAATAAAGGAACTTTGTCATGTCTCCAGGTCATACCTGCAGACTACGGTGGGGGATTGAGCAATTGAGCTCTGAGTCTGCTTAGAGACTGATGCTCTGCTCAGTGCTGTGTCAAAAAATGATATGAAAGGGCAGAAAATAAGTATTTACATGTGTAGCTGTTGATTTGGTCAATAATGATGGGCAGTTGACAGAGCATTGCATGTGCCATGCAGAAGACAAAAATCTTTTGATTGTGTAGTCCAAAATTATTGCAGCAGTGCTGACAAAATGAAACAAGTTCTATAAAATGTTTGGAATTCAGGAAAATGTCTATAAAAATGGAACTTACTGGATTTAAAATTAGGCTTTCTTATCAACCTCCTGTTGATAAAAACTACCTCCTGTTGATTAAACTACTTTATACTTATAAACTGACTAAGACAATTTCTGCTACAATGATTTTTTTCTGAAACTGCTCCACTTTTCAATGTTCCACTACCTGCCTCTGGTGTGTACCTGAAGTTAGAATTTCAAACCAGGAACAAAATAATTGCATTTCGTGGAATTTTAGTGACTAGTTCTGATAGCTTAAGGAATCAATTTAGAAAATTCTGAGCTGGCCAAATCCTGCATTTAGTTTTGTTTACTGGAAAATTTTTCTTATCTAATTAGGATCAAGTTCTTAGCTGGTAGTTCAGTGCCACAAGTTACAAACAGCTGAGAACATGGGGTGGATGCTCAGTAACAGAGCCCGGGGCAAAACCAACCGAGGAAGTTCTGTTAGGCAAGGACTACCCCGAATCAGCCTTGGGGCAGAATTACTTTGAGATAAGCTATTTTTGTCAACGAACAAAGAAATACAGTGGCCTTTTTTGAAATATAAATAACAGATGTGAAAAGTCTGATGGTATTTGCCCCAGTAGAATACAAGTCACAGTGCTTTCACTCAGGAAGAAAGTACTTTTTCTTGCTGTGAAAAGCAGCAAACTACCACACCTGCTAGAGATGTGTTATTACATTCTTAAAAGTATATTAAGTATCATCACTAGCTTACTTGTTGAGCTTTATTTAAAACTTTGCTTTAAATTTTCTGTCACCACTTATGTATTTTCTTTGTAGACATTACAGAACACTAAAATGAGTCTCAGGCTGTCTTGTTGGCCCCAGAAACTTAACAGCATTAAGTGAAATTACAGAGCATCTGGTACCACAGGATTCCTATGAAAAACATCTGTCTGTGGTGGTCTTGAAGGGCCCATCAGCTCTGCATGGCCAGGAGGAAACCAGAGAGAGAAATAGCTTGTGCCACTGGAGCAGGCTGGTGGGGGAAATGTAAAATATGTGGAAGTGTATTTCCACATTTCTCTCTGGGGGAGGGAGGGGAGCAAAGACATAGTGCCTTGTTCTGTCTGATGTGGTACTTGTTAGATGTTCTACCCACTGGGTATTTGGGCTTCACTTTTCTTCTTTGAGTCTGTTCTCTGCAGCATATTTTTTCCCCTAAAACTTTTTTAAAAAAATATTTTTGAAAAACTACTGCATACTTAGTTTGTATCTCTGTGACATCCCTTATCATATGCTATATTTAAATTTAAAAATGACTGTAAAACTTAGGAACCATCTGAAATGGACTTGAAATGTTGATAACATCACTTTGGAAATTAGAGAATTCCACTTTTATTCTGTAGGAATAACCACACTGCACAGTATGGGTAATAATTTTTTCTTTAACAAGCCATATTCTTTTAACATTTTTGCATCATTATAGTCACTGCTATAATAAAAAGCCACTTAAGTGATTATTCCACATAGAAATGTCAGAAGTGCAGAAGAAAACTCCATGCCTGATAACTGAGCTTAATTTATAACATTCATAGGGAAGAAATAAAAAGGCAAAATCTAACATTTTACTGTGTACAGATCAGTTGATTTTACACGTTGTTGTCTTGGATGGAACCAGTAAAGATTTCAAGCCACATTTTGAAGCAATTCTTTTACTGTTTCCCAGTAATGATAACCTATTAAAATGATCCAAGGAAGTTACAGAAACACCACTAGAGATTATGCAGTAAAACAACAAATTGCAGATTTCAAATTGAGCCACTGATTACATTATTCCAAATGGGTTTCTAATGGCTGTTTGCACAAGAACAACCCATTATTAATAGCAGCCAGTGCATCCAGTGAGCATAGCTGAGCAAGACTCAAATAAACATTCACAGATCACCTGATGTTCACCCAAACTGTAATTAAGAGGGGTTATGCCCGTAATGCTTAGAAAGAAAATTTTCACCTTGCTTATTTTGATAGTTTCCTCCTTTGTTTCTAAGAAAGAAAAAAATTTTTTCTGAAATAATAAGTGAAACCAACCCTGCATATATCAAGATAGATTTCAAAAGAATAGGTTCACTTTTTTAAAAAGATGTTTTCATTTGGCATTGAAAGCATCTAAAAACAAGCAGTGCACCATAGTATCTCCATTAATTATAGCAAATTAATTTGGTCTACACAAAAGCCAGCTTTAGTTTCTCCCATCTTTTCTACTTTGCAGATATTTATTTAAATTTGACGTTATTTATATTAATGAAATTTAAAAGACATGATATAAATATTTAATGGAAATATGGTTCCAGAAAATGAAAATTGTATTATTTCTAGTGTGCTTAGAGCCTTCATTTGCAAATCTGAAACTCAGGTTTGTTCCCAGTGCTTTGGGTACCCAGTGTAGGTTGTAAGAGTGGTTTTAAGCGCAGCGTTGAGTGTGCTTTACACTGTACTGAACTGTAACTCCCAGAGAAAAAATGAAAGAGGAACCAGTCTCATTGGGAAAGGAAATGATGATTGTCTGTATAATGCCTGCATACGTGATATTCTCAGTTGCTAATGTCCCCAGCCCAGCTGGGAAGGTGTGTGTGTTATTTCTGCCTGCAGACTGTGCCCGTTCTGTGTCCGCCCCGGCAGGTCCGTGAGCACATGGCAGCCGTGCCGTGCCATGGAGGCCCAGACCCCGCCAGGCCCGGCGGCCGCTCCGGCAGAGCCCAGCCCGGGCCCTTCCCCGCGGGGCTCGCGGGGCTCCTCGGAGCCCGCCCGGGGACCGGCACTGCCCCAGCCCCTGTACCTCAAGGCCCTGACGTTCCCGCTGCTCCAGCCCGTCCAGCCAGGCTGCTTCCAGCCACACGGGCCCTTCGTGGCCGGCAGGAGCTGCATCCACCTCGACGGCAGCAACGTCCCCCTCATCCTCAACCCGCTCGTTCCCCCCGAAGGCACGGAGCAGCCTCAGCCGCTTTTCCACAAACAGCTTGGGCAAAGTCTGACGTTGAGCATAGTCAGCGCTTTACCGGTTTTATCGTCGCCAAGTTCTTGTGTAAAAGCATCTATTGGAAATCTGGGAAAATCAAAAAAATCTGGGAAATACATCTGCAAACACTGTGGACGAGATTGTTTGAAGCCGAGTGTCCTTGAGAAACACATTCGCTCTCACACAGGAGAGAGGCCCTTTCCGTGCACCACTTGTGGCATTGCTTTTAAAACTCAGAGCAACTTGTATAAACACAGGAGGACTCAAACACATGTCAACAACACCAGGCTGCCCTCAGACTCTGACATCAGTGGAGGACCAGAGCAAAATGAGAGATCAGCAGAGAGCACCACCTGTCCCCAAGGTAGCAAAATCTTGAGTAGCACCAGTGAAGACCAGGGGACACACATCAAACAGCCCAGTTCAGAGACCAGCGCAGCAACAGACACTAAGAAACCTCACGAGCTCTCACTGACAGCGACCAGCTCTTCATCAGCTGCTTCAGAAAATCAAGAAACAACAAATCAATCATTGAATTCAAAGGCTGTTCAAGGGGTTCCTGAAAGAGAACCTCAAAGTTTATCATCTCCAGGAGCTTTGCCAAATGGTCTGTGTCTGAGAAAGAAGATGCAGGAGCAAAGAACTCCAACTGCCAATAAGCACATTCAGCTGCAAAGGCAGCAGGCAACCTCTTCAGAGAAGCAGTGGGATTACAAACCCTTGGACTGCAAGCTGAAGAAGTGTGAGAGCACTGACTCGGGGTATCTGTCGCGTTCCGACAGCACAGAGCAGCAGATGACATCGTCCAGCCCCTTGCACAGTCTCTACGAGCACAGCACGGAACTGGAAAGTGAAACTGCCTTCAGCAGCCCAAGGTGTGCCTCCAGAAGCACTGCAAAGCCAGAGGCAGCTGACAAAGCTACAGCCTCGATGCTGGAGAAAAAGAGGCTGGAAGAACACATTTCAAAGCTTATTTCTCACAACAAAAGTGTGGTGGATGACACCCAGTTAGACAATGTCAGGCCCAGAAAAACTGTCCTTTCTAAACAGGGAAGCATTGACCTGCCAATGCCTTACACATACAAAGACTCTTTCCATTTTGATATTAGAACTTGTGATGTAAATAGGAAAAAGAATCTTTCTCTTTGTTCAGCAAAATCTACCTTTGCACCCCTGGAGAAATGCAAGCCAGTGTTTTTCCATTCAGTTCCCACCCAGTTCTCCACAACAATTGACACTGTGCCTGTTACTCGGAGCAACTCCTTGCCTGTTGTGGAGGGATCGAGGATGGTGCATGACAAAGCAGGATGCTCCAAACCACTTTCTCTTACTAAGCAGTCTGTAAACACAGGCACTGCTGGTTTGCTGCCTAGCAACGATCTCACTGCCAGTTCAGTGGATTTCCCTAATAGCCATCCCCGAGCTCTAGTCAGACAAACAGCAGTGGATGATTTGCCCCTAAGTAATGTGGCTGACCATCCTTCTCTGTCAGAGGACCTAAAAGGGACTAAAAAGCTTGGGGCTGGAGAAGTAATCAGTGCTAAAAATAAGAAACACAATCAAAGGAAGTTGAAGATGTTCTCTCAAGAAAAATGGCAAATGTATGGAGATGAAACGTTTAAGAAAATCTACCAAAAAATGAAAAGCAGTCAAAATGCCAAGAAAATGAAACAAAGAGATAATAAAATTACAGCTATTACAAGCTTGACTCCTAATTCAAGGGAATCAGCCAGTAGCACTGAAATAACTGAGGAAAGAGATGTCAGGAGCTCTGCAACTGACAGTCCTTCCTCCCTTGTGACAGCAGCTTCAACCATGGGTAATTCGGGAATCTCTACTGATGGCAATTGTGTTCTGCAGAATATGTCCTCTGAGGAAACTGCAGACAGAGTGTCCAACCTAATGGAGACATCACATTCCATAACTGCCAGAGCCGTAAGCAGCCAGCCTTCCCCAGAGCTCAGTGGCAGTGACACGGAGAAATGCACAGCAGGCAGCAGCACACTGCTGGCTCCAAGCAGTGCTGAGCTCAGGCTTCAGAATCCTGAGTGTCAGCTGAGCAGCCACGGGAGGAATGATGACTGCGTGCCAGTGCAGAGTACCAACTGGGAGAAACCAAGCCCTGGGAAAGAATCCAGTGCATTTGAATTAGATTGTAAAAACACTTCACACAATTATGGGAACTATCATGGGACTAAGCAAAGTGGCCAGCATGGCCTGATGTCCCCTTGGGTCCCTTGCAACAACAGAGAAACTGCAGGGAAATCCCAGACTTTGCCATCAGAAAGGAAAAAGCTGAAATTTGAAGTGGAGAAGACACAAAATGTGATTTCAGTGTCCTGCCCTAGTCCCAGTAATGAAACCACTGCAGTAAGTGAAACAGAGAGAGGCCATTGCTCTGGCACTCATTGTCTTCCCACAGCTCCAATGAAATTCTCCACTAAAGCAGAGGAGCAAAAATCAAGCACAGGAATTAATGAAGCCACTGGAGGTACTGAGAATATGGAATATAGGAAAGCAATCAAACTTCCCACACAAGCTCATAGTTACTGTGACATTAACCTTCTTTCACATCCTGCAAGTATCTCAAAAGTTTCATTGGTGGGATTTTTAGGGTCTAGATTAAGGGAAAGTGATTCCAACTCTTTTGCCTTGCACAATGCAGCAGATGGAGATGACAAAACATGTATTGTAAAAACAGGAGCAAAAGTGCCACTTCCCAGTGACAATGCTGTGGATGTGTCTTCTAAAAGCCATCATCTGCAATCTGATCGTTTAAGTCCAGTCCTACAACAAAATGCCTTCTCTCCAAAATATATCCTTAAATTGCCACAAGACAAGAGAGCTTCAGATCTGTCACCTTTGCTTCAGTCTGAACAGGAGATGACACCTGGTACACCTGTGACAGACACATTAACCACCCCACCCTGCTCTTCCAGCTGCACATCCCTCCATTCTCATTCCAGTGATGTGGTTTGGTCCCCTTTAAAATCTGAGGTGAGACAAAAGGCTGGCAAAGGAGAAATTCAATGGAATCTTCACACAAACTGGAAAACTCCAGGATTCTGTTCACCAGTCAGCTCAGAAACCACAGATATCTTAACCACAGCAGAGAACATCTTTCATAACCAAAACTTCAAGCAGCAGGATATTGCAAGAGAGGATTGGAAAAACAAACACAACAAAAATAAATTAAATTATCAAAGGCAAACAGAAGAGAAGTGGATGAGTAAAAGTACTTGCTCTATACAGACTCCAAAGAAGAAAATCTGCTTTACTTCTGTGTATACAGGTGGATTTTTCATATCTGCTGACATCAAAGATGAGAGGAAGGCTTTACATCACCTTTGCTCAGGAAGTGACTCTGTGATAAAGACATCAGTTTCTAGCAAAGGTGCAGAGCCAACAATCCTGGGATGGGACAGAGAAGGAAGTCCACACATCCTGAAGGACACCCCACCACCAGTGCAGCACCTGCAGCACTCCCAGAGCTCAAGAGACAACCCCACTTATTTTTGCCATTCTTTTGGCACTTTCTACTGCCACACTCTCAGCACTCACTGTAAAGGATTCCCAGTGCTGCCCCACTATAACAGGAGCAGCTGCTCTGGCACTTCTCCAGTGCCAGGCTCCAAGAGCACCTTCCCATCCCTGAGTGCCGAGCCCCGGCTGACCTGGTGCTGTCTGAGCAGGAGCCTCCCTCTGCCCTCCGAGCAGGGTGGCACTGCAGCCTCTGCCCACCCCTCCGTGCCCCCCTGGGACAAGGAACCCAGCAGGGAATGCACCCTGTCGAAATACGACATCTCCATTTTCAAAATGAGAAATATCAGCAAGACTGTGGCATATGGCTTAACAAACACAAGCTTGAAAACGTTGGTTTCATCCTTTTCTAAAGGACACCAGATGCAGGAGGTAATATTAATAATTCTGTTTGCTTTCTCAAGAGGGTGTTATTGGCTGACAGCCCACCTCCACCCTCTTATTAAGAAAATTAAAAAATTATCAGAAGTGTGTTTATGGACATTTATAGGCATTTGCTGATACAGAATTTACAATTTGTATTTTTCTAAGATAAGTCTATATTCATTTGATTCACCAGAAAGATATATTTCTGTGTGAATATCTAAGATTCTTTCACTTTTCAGAACGCTGATAGTGAGAAGAGTGAATTTCTATTTCTTGATATTTTTACCCTTTATGGGGATTTAAAAATATTTTTCTCTAATAGCATCTGTATTTCATTGTTTTCATTCTAAATTAATATTTGACTTAGAGTAGGACTTAAATACAGAGTTGTGCTACTTAACTCCTATGCTGTTCAGTGCTATTTAAAAAGTGCACAGATTTCCAACTTCTCAGTCAATGTAATTCACAGTTTTCATGCACTTGATTTTCCCTCAATATTCTCAACAGTTAAGCTCAGACGTTCCTGGTGGCTCTTTCAAAAATATTTCAGAGCAAAAGAAGAAAACAGTAGTTTGCAAAAAGGAAAAACTCTCAACAAATAAACTCAAGAGGAGCCACAAACAGAAAAGGATTAAAGTCACCCCTAAATGGTAAGGAGTATGGCTTTAAGGTTTGCTATATATCAATTATATATATAATAGATAATATAATAATATATATATACATAATTTTGTTATATTGTGTGTAAAAACTCCACAGAAAATAAAAAAGTCATGCCCAAAATTCAACCTTGTCAAAACTGAGGAAAATAAAAGATAAGTCTCTCAGAAAGAGCTATTCTTATACTACAGCTGGGCCCCAAATGTAAACTCTAAAAATGCCAATATGTCATTTTCTATTAGGAACAGACTTTTTCAAGCAAACCAGATATATCCCACAGAAAGATGATGCCTGCTTAATTGACTCTCTCTGTAATTTAGCAATTGCTCTTATCTGTCAAAATTGTCAGCATATACTTTTGTTTGAAGGGGACCAAAATGCTTCTGTTTTCAATTCTGCCCTAGCTCAGAGCAGTGGGCGAGGCCCTTTGTCCTTGGAAGATCCATAGCCTGAGCTGGTATTCACCAGAGAAAGCAGCAGAATAAATATCAAATTTAGCATGAACTAACAGAACCATCTGTAGTTCAAAGGATCATTTGGTTTAAATAAAAAAGCAGGAAGAATTAGAGCACAAAACTATCAAGGTCACATTGTCTCAATCAGCACAGCTCCCCCCTTTCAATGGGAATTCCTATCAGTGGAACATTTATCCTCTAATCTTTCAGGAGTGGGGGGCAGCAGGATGCCTGATGAATTGCTTCAGTAAGGAACACATATTGTGTGCACACATCCCTCTTTATTGCATGACCAAAATCAGACTGAGTTGACTCCCTTGAGGACAAATCAGTGTCAGTAACTTAATCACTGTGTCTAGTTCAGCAAACAGCACTGCAATTTTGAAGGGTCATAAGAACAGAAATAGAAGACTCAGTTCCATGTCACCCAGCCAAGTGACATTCTTCCAGGACTTTTTCCTGGTTTGATTTTCAGATGCTGTTTTGTTGTTGTGTTTTTTTTTTTTTCCCTGCTGGTCTCAGAATTTGTTTATATCAAATTTATTTGTGTCAAATAAGTGCAAGGATTTAATGAAGTAGTGTCCTGAAAGCTCAGGTCATGCCTATTAGTAGGTAACTGGCCTAGCTGGTAACCACTAAATGTAATTTACTTTTGTAATACACTAAACACCTGAATAAGTGAATCCTTTTAGATTTACATCTTGCTCTGTGGATAGTGACAGTCCATTGATTTAGGGATGGGACTTTAGTGTCACTCATCCAGAGTTACTAAAAGATGGATAACCAAAATCCTTATGTTGTTCCTTAGCGATGATGAACAGGTAGCACTCAAGAAGTGAAAAGGAAAAAGCCCAACAACCACACAGCCTGAGGTGATTCCTGTGTGGTTCAAGTCTTTGTGAAGTATATTGTTTTAAAATTCCAAATATAAGAAAAAGGAGCCTTAATCTGTTTCTCTTAGAAAATCAAGGATTTACTGAATCCTACAGAGAAAAAAAGATAATAAAATAGCTCTGTGTCTCTTGCCTAAAATCCAGCTTTGTTTTTGAGCTAACATAAACAAGCATCTCCTTCCCAGTAATAAACTGCTGTTAGACTTTAATGCACCTGATGAGGTGGTGTTATTCTCCCTGGCTGCTCCTGCATCTCCCGTATTTGTTTATCCCCTCAATGCCCCTGGCACTGCAGGTACAGAGGGAGGCACATCCATGGATTTGCTCAGCTGAAAATGAACCGGCTGAGCAAGAGGCCCTGTTTTCCCAACAGAACTCTGGATGCTTTGAGGAAAGGCTGCTCATCCCAACCCCCCAGATTTAATAAGCCTAAGAAGTGCCATCCTCCTCAATCCAAGATGCAAGGTAAGTACTTGGAATATTTGTGTGAAAATTGATGTTATTTCGGTGATATTATGAGAAATGTAGCAAGTTTGAGCATGTGGGGGTGCTAAAAATCAAAGTAAGAGTTTATCCAACCTCTTTTCAATAGAAAATTATCTACACCAGCAAAAAGATACATCATATTCCACCTCAGACAAACAACTTTGCAGAAGGAAAAAAGAAGCAAAGAATAACTCAGGAATTTCTTCCCATACTGAAAACCTAAACCATGCTAAACAAAAAGACAAAATGGCTAAAAAAGTACGTATTGAACCTCAATTCCTTTTTATTTTTTATTAACAGAAAAAAGAATTGTTAATTAATACCTGAATTATATTGTTGAAGTTGAAATTATTTTGTATCACAGATTGTGGCTGAAATGTTTAAAAATGTGTTAAAGGTATTTTTTGGGGTTAAAATAAAATGAAAACGTACTAATATTAGAATTAGCTAAAATAACAGTTAAACTTGCATCTTTTGGATGAAATTACTCTGGACTGAAAACTTTACATGTAAATTGTTTCCCCTCCTAATTCCTACAGGACATTTCTGGGCAAATCAGGGAACATGCAAGAACAAACGCCTCTGTCCAGAACATTTCAGCTCCTCTAGGAATAGCTGTGACAGCTCATTCCTTTTCCTCCAGAGCTGACACATCCCTGCAGGAATTCAGCAGGGACGTGGCCATTTGCTGCTGGGTGACACAGCCCCTCGTGCTGCAGCCATCCCTGCCTGGGCAATCCCAGCCCAGCCTTCGGAGTGACCCCCTGGCTGCCTCCTTTGGGTCTTGTCCTGAATTTACAAACACAGGCACAGGTGACCAACCTGACAGCACAAACCCAGAAGCTGCTGCTCCTCTTTCCTTACATCCAGCAGCAAGCCAGGAAAACATCTTAAGGGTAGTGTCAGAGAGCCAAATATTTGGAATATCAGAGCCGGTGATCCAGGCCTCTGGAAGGAAGAAAGCTCCAAGTGAAGAAAACACACGTTCACCTCCCACAGAAAACTCAGCTCCCAGTTCCCAGCCAGGATGTTCACGTTTGTTTGGATCCCAAGCAGAGTCTGTTCCTGAGACAGTCACCAGGGCTCAGTTACCCAGCAGAGAGCACTCACAGAGGGCAAACTTAGCTCAGCATCTCCTGGAGCTGCATGGAAGTGCAGACGAGAACAGATCCCACCTGCAGCTCAATCCCTATGAAAGGCCACATGGAACAGCTACTGCTACCTTTAAAAAGCCCCCAGTTACTCTCAGATCCCCTGAGTTCAAGAGTTACTCTGCAACACCCACTAAGATATACAAAAAGAAAGGTTTAGAGATGATGAGGAAACAAACACGTGTGGAATATGATGACACAAGCAGTGATGATGAGGACAGGCTGGTTATAGAAATATAGCAACAGGCTGCTGCCAGGGCTTGTGTGCCAGCCTGGAAATGCCAGGGATCTTTGATCCATAGTTCTAAAACACCTTAACATCAGCAAAGCCATTCCTCTGTGCCAGAGGCAACACCCTCTTTGGAAGAGCCCTTCCTTTCAAGGACTCAACTTTTTTTTTTTTTAATGCTTACTTGAGGCTGGCATCGCACATTTAAATGCAAGAGGCAACCCTGTGCTCCTGAAAGGTTTCCAGCATTGTTAACGTTCCTGCCAGTCTCAGAATTCCCACAAGTGCTGCCTGCCCGTGGGTGTGTTACTCCCAGCCTGCAGTGGATTGGGTTACTTCAACAATGCAGCTGCAGCAGCTTCCTCAGTTCAGATTTCCTGGAAGGGTTCAGATGTGTTCCCTTCTCTGTACTCCTGTTTCTTGTAGTCACTGCCTCTGTGCTGGGAGAGACACGCTGGCATTAAGGGGAAGATCTGTTCCCTACGTATCTGTGATATTGGAAGAATCTGGAAAAAATGCTGGTCTTTTTCCATGTTGCACAAATGTCAATGCTTCTGTGTGAGAAATGACACAAGCATGCTTTGCTTTGTGTTTTGTGCCTTTTATGCCAAGATCTACTCAAGTGTTCTTGATTTTTAGGTGGAGAATATGGGTGTTAGCTATTAGTATTTCCTTGTGGTAAAATTTCTGACAAGGATTTTCTTATTATATTTATCACATTGTGCTCCAACTGATGTCATCTGGAATGTTTCATTTTTATTGTAATTTTAACTGCAATGATGCCATTTTATGGAGGGTAAAGAAGCTATATGGCATAGCTTGTTTTCTTTTTCTAACAAGTTTTGTGCTACAAACCCTAAAATTTACTGGTTTCTATGTGAATAAATAATTAGATATTTCAATTTGACCAAGTGTGTTCAATTGATTGATTAAACTGATGAACACTTAAAACATTCCACTTCTGCATTATAGTCGAATTCTGTACTTAAACTTCTCCTGATCTTGTATTCTGATTCACACATAGGGATTAATGGATTAACCTACATAGGATATTTGGAGTTGCTTTTTAGTCATGCTCAGGTAAAAGATTAAGCAGATCATACAAAGAAATCTAGCACAAATTATCTGAAAAAAAAAAAAAAGTGTATGTGTAAAAAAATGCCCAAACAGCTCAGAGGGATAAACCATGTGCCAAATCTTGTGCAATTCCTGTGTGTTTGGATGTCCTACAAATGTGACAAGGCTTGAGGTTATCAAAACAGAACTTCACATTTATCCTTTATCTTGTTCAGTATTTGTGCTCACAGACAAACTGGTGGGTATTGGGGTATTGGAGTGACTCCCGGGTGCAATGAATTTAAATAATGTGAATTCAAAGAAGTACACAAATCGAATTTGGGAAGAAAAAGAGGAAAAGAAAGGGAGGAGCCATCAATACTTACAGAATATTGAACCATTCAAAGTTCTGGAGCTTTTTTTTTTCTGATGGAATCACTCACAGCTACAGCTGGATTCTGAATTTGTAGGAAAAGCAGGAAAAGAAGAAACACAAAACTTACAGAGATCCCCAGATCAGTGTTCCCAGCAATGCTGTTGGCCAAGCACCTTTAGAAAGCACAGTACAAAAATCATTGCACCAAACCACACCAGCACCTCCATAGCAACAATTTTCATCACTTGCCTGTGCAAGAGCTAAATATTATAATACATGGATATGTAAGGAATATTCTATATAAGTTTTTGGGGTTTTTTTTTGCATAATGTTTGTGGCTAAATGTTGTATTTTAAAGTGGAATTTCTAGATCAGTAATTCAGAAATATTCTAATGACAGACTCAGAAGTGCTGTGCAAGGAAACTTTTATCCTGCATAGATTTTACAGCATGAAGTACAGAAATTTGTCATTCTGCAGCTGTAGTGGGAAGAAAAAGGGGACAATGTTAAGGTGTCTGGGAAAGTAAAGTTTAAACTCCATTTCTTGACAGAAGTAATCCTTGACATTTTCTCTCCCTATCCTGTGTAACAATTTGACCTAAAATTAGTTCTTTAAAAGTGCCACTAGATCCATGGTGGCATTTTAACAGGATTTTAACTGCAGAAGGCAGTGACTCCAGCAAAAATCCTTTTGGCCACAGCAGCCCTTGGAGCAGCCAGGTCTGAGTCAGGTACACCAGTGTGTGAGGACTGGGAGAAATGGTCTTGGTCCAAGCTAGGGAACTCGGGGAGTCTGCACATCCAAATCCTACTGGCTGGATGGAAAACCTGTATTGCAGCTTTCCAGAACACACTGTACTCACAAAAAGGACTAAACAGACAAACTCTTCTCTATCTTTTACACAGCACGAGAATCAGCCGCTGATATGTTTAACTCACTCCCAAGTAGCTGAACATAAAAACCACAGGAGGGCACCAGGCACAGAGGGAAAAATCTGTTTCCTTCTCCAAAGCCAGCAGCAGTTCTGATGGATCATCTCTTTGATATAAGCAAAGCTGAAATTCCTTTGCACATGAATGCAGCTCATCAACTTTATCCTCCTTCCAGTGAAGGAAGCAAATTAATAGGGAGTACTAATAAGGTCTATATTCAACACCTACATCTTCCCAGGCAGATGCAAATTAGTAGATGTTTCAGATTTTGCCTCTTTAACTGGGAACACATTTTTTCTTGTTGTTTCAGACTTTTCTAGTAGATCTTATTAGACGTTGATACTTCACTGATCTGCCTGGCAAACCCCAACTCTTACAAAAAGGTGAGTGAGAGGGGTGTGAAACAGCCAGAGCAAGCCTGAAATCCCCAGCAAATACAAAGATATACCTTGAATAAAAGTTCTGGCTTGGAGCTGCTGGAACTGTCTCTGTAGGGGAAACTTCCATCAGCTTTTCACAGAAGCCACCCCTGCAGCCCCCCACTACCAAAACCTTGCCACACAAACCCAATACAACATCATGTTATTTAGGGCTGGAACAGACTTTTTTTTCCAGTCCTATTTTTACCCATAAAATCTTGTCTGTCAACATCTTCCCCAAATCACGATTCCTAATATATTTTGTGCTTCAGTATAAGCCCTGCTGACACACACAGGGATCAGTACACACCTAAACCTGGTTTTGTATCCTGCCTAGGTTTTATTTGCACCACCAAATTTGTCCAATTCATCAGTGTTATATGGTATTAGTTTTCCTGTAAGTAGCTTTGTTAAACCATTAATTTTACCTTAAGGATTTGTGTGGAATTATGGCCACAGATTAAGGCTTATGGCCTGATTTTTCATTTACTATCAGCATTCCATGAGTCACATGGATGAAAGGGTCAATAGTGGTGGGTTTTTTTTAGACTTTAAAATACTTTGAGATTTTTACAGTTGATTTAAAGTGTCCTGGTGGAACTGTATAAATGTCACGTAGAACTACTTAGAGTCTGTGTCTTCCCAGGGAGCTGTAATGTTACCAGAGTTTGGTTATAAGCCATCCTTTTAAGTACTTAAACATAAAAAAGTGGTTTTCTTTCTCACAATCAAGGTACCTATTGACTACTCATGATAACTGCCTGAATATGTTCTACATTTATGTAATTCCTGAGGTTTAGAGGGGCAAGAGCCAGTTAAACAAGGGATTAACTCCCTTGAACAAATTTGTGGGTGCTTTGCATAGTAGTCAAAGAGAATTATTGTGCCATGGGTGTACAGACTACTTTAGCTTTAAAACCCTCTCTATAAAAGCCTCATTACCAGTCCCTAATGATTGCCAGGGTTCAAAACCCAGTGCTAAACAAGGTGATTTAAATAGAGTCAATTCATTAATCTCTAATCCATTTTTTAAAGCATCACAAGGTTTGTGCATGTGCATCTGCCTCATGTTTTTGATTCACTGATTGACAAAACAAGCAGTGTTGAGTACAGCACCAGGAGCATGTTCTTAATCCAGCCAGGATTGGAAGTGTTTCAGAGTGAGCTAGTTGGGATATATTAGACTGATTTTTTAAAAGATTCTTCTGCCATTAACAAAAGGAGGAATTGGATGAGAGCCATGGGAGCTGTTTCATAACCTCCTGTGGTCTTGTTTCCCAGCTGACTGTGAGGGCCACTCAGGTTCTGCTGCTCAGGTCAGACATTCTGGACCAGCACAGACAGTTAAGCCTTGATGGAGTCAAACTTCAATTACATGTTCTGTTTTGCACTTAACCTCTGCAAAGCAAAGCCTCTTACACATTATGGGGCTATTCATGGGGCAAAATTTAGGCCACATCAGCAGCCCTCCCCACTCTTTTTACACTGATAGAGCTATGATCAGTGTTTGTATCTAAAAATCTATGATTTATCATTCTGTATCATACATATTGCAGACAGATTTTTCTTGAAAATGTCCTTATTTCATTGCACATGCCCAAATTAAACATTGTCTCACACTGCTGGGAGTGTGACAGGCTCACTCAGCTGAGCTGATGTCCTTTCTCCTTTGTAAAAAGAAGCCATTACAGAAATTTCCTCCCTTCCTTAAAATGGTTAATACAAAGAAAAAAAAAGAAGAAAAAAAAAAATCAAAATTGATTTCCGTAACATGCTTTGGCAGCAACTGAGGTGAGCAACTACATGGGGAAAAGGGAGCCAGGGTTGTTCCCACCTGTGTTAGGAAACCACAGTCTGAGAAGAGCAATACTTCAGTGGGAAGCTGAGCCAGGACTGTTACAGTGACCTCAAATCTCCAAACTTGTAAGTACAAATGCAATTATGAGATTGGCACGAGCAGCAGTTCTGAGGGTTCCATGCACATACACGTTTGTGTTTTGGCTGAGGGGAGGAATAGGAAAAAATTACACTCCTTAAAAAGTAATTCGACTATTAGCTCCACAATGCTTCTTAATGCTCCCTTTGCTCACAGGGAATCATTTGCATTGAGCTCCTCAAATGGAAAGACACAAAAAGCCATCACAGCCTCTGCAGCCCATGAGTGCTTGGTGTTCCAGCTCAACCCACTTAGGAGAAAGTTTTGTGTAACTTTGTTGGTTCTAGCTATGGGTTATGTTAGATCCAAATGGAGTGAATGTTGAAAAGGGAAATTATACAAAGGTCTCATACCTCAAATCACTGGTTGTCCAGAAGCAAGAAAGTAATATAGCAAAGTAAAACATAAAAAAAATACCTAATCCTGCCCAATATTATAAGGCTTAAGAGATTATATGAAAAGGATTTACAAATTTTGATTTAAAAATAAGAACAAAAGCAAAATGGTCATTATTACGTGCTTGATATGGAAAACACCAAACCTTTTTTTATTTGTACCAGATGTGGATAGGCAGATGTGAACGGCTGGACAATATTCACAGAAGTGGAATTAGGGTAATATCCATAATTAATAGCATGCCTGTGGAAACATGTTCTGCGCTTCAAAAAGAATTCAGGTGGTATTAGAATTGGAAGAATGTCCTTACCCTCAAGATGTTGACAAATTTGAAGAAATTCCAAGCAGTGAAAAAAAATCCTGATTGGAGAAATAGATTACTTGTGCAGAAATATTAAAGCAACCAGTCTTCTGCTCTCAGTTACACCAATGTGGTCCAGTTAAATTCAGTGGCAGTGTACCAACAGAACCAGGAGAAAAGCTTGATTGAAACATATGATATGAAGGATTTTCTTAGAAATGTCAGACAAAGAATTCCCTTTAGGAAGGAAAGGAATTGGTAAAACATTTTGGGGAAACAATAGATCCTGTAAGATTTAAAGTGGAAAGAAGGAAAATATAGCCAGAGAATGTTCCACTGCAGTAACATTTCCTAATACCCAGAGGAGGTCCTCTGGGATATTTAACAGAAGTCAGAACACAGCCACTCACTGTACAGAACAATTACACTCAGGAGGTCTTCAGAGAAAGCCATCAGGCAGTTCTTCCCCTGGATATCCCTGTCATCCAT